GCCCCTTTAAGATCACGTACCGGTAGGTCTGATTAACTAAATCATCATTATATCCACTTTTCTTGAAGATGACAGATGGGTCTAAAATATACACCCATGGTGAAGAAAAGAAAGATTCAATATTCAAGTTAGAATTGTCTGAAATTGTTTGCAATATCCTGACTTGCTCCTTTACTTGTAATATTATAACAATATAGCCCATCTATAAAAAATATGCTCCTACGGTAGTTGCCAAAAAACAGTTGAAAACTCATAAAAACAATCCCCTACCTTCACTTTGATAAAAATTAATCCAATATATGAGATAATCACAGCATCTCTGACTTTTTCATTATCTCCAGTACCTGTTGTATCTCACCATTCAACAATGTTAAATAACTGTAATTTTTACTCCATCGAGAACCAAGCACGGCTGGCTATAAAAAACGCACTTAACATATACAGCTAATAGTCCAACCCTGTCAAATTATTTGACGTATCAGTATAATCTGGATGAATGCCATTGGACATTGGATTAACCCAAAACTTAAAAAATATTATCGCCTCAGGTGTAGAATTCATAGAAATATAAATCATCTGTTGATGGTGATTTTGGTTTAATTAGTTGTTGTCTGTCCATATGTCATTATTTGAAAGGGAATTTGGTATGAAAAGATCTGAAGTACCCCCTCGTATAATCCCAAAATAATTTTTTTTAAACTTTTTGACAAGTTAGGCTAATGCCAGAGCTATGTGTCTAATATGTGTAATTTGGGCAACTTCTATTTAATATTATCATTATTATAAGTTTGAATACAGACACGTTATTTGGAAATATATGTTTTGTATTTCTTTTTAATTTGACTGACAGCTGTCAAACAGCCAGACAGCATCGACCAATTATCTCACATGCTACATACAAACAACATTTCAGTCACTTCTCCGTAACTTAACAAAATACAAATGTCATGGGTCTTGAATCCAAAGATGAACTAATGATATATTAGTGGTTGAGATCAGGAAGTGGGGAAAATCTCCGAGTGCATTCGTGATAAAAAAGAAATGCCACACATCCATATCTTATCACTGTCTGAATCACTGAACAGAATCAAAATAGATTCTGCTTATCCCAAAATGTATTTTAAGTCACATTTTCCCAGATTCAATTAGCTAAAGGTTATACCAAATAGCTGAAGGTTATGTCGTCTCAGCGTGTAATAGTAGCCCTTATAGTATTCGAAATAATGTTACTTTAACATGCACTATAAAGATACATTTTATTCAAAATGCATTTTTAATCAATGTAAACCGTACTTTAAGCACAGCTAACTAGATTAAGTTTCAAGAATCACTTAGAAGTTAACTTTAAAACATTGACCATTTTCGAAAAAACAGGAAATGTTCCTTTTATAGTTCATCTCTACTTGAAAATTTGATAAGTAAAAGGTTTTTGTAATAAAAGCCAATAATAAATGGTTCTTTTATCAAACGGAACAAAAAGTTTTTATACTAAATTCCATTTTTCCTTTTACCATACACAATGCACTTCCATGGCAACGGGATAATGTAAAGCAATAAAATGACCAATAATAGTTTCTTAAGTGTCATATAAGTTCAAATCTCAAGAAAGGGTAAATATAAACAAATCATTAAGATAAGGACATCCACTGCATGACCTTCAAAGTCAATAACCTGGGATGATGAGATGATTCGGTGAAATCCAGGTACAGAGGCAAGCTGATCCAAAAATGCTGAAAATCAGGCACGCTACACCACATAACATCATTATCTAATCCAATTCTGTCTCAAATGGGTGCAAACTTTTTATTTCATAAATTCTGACAAAAATGTTGATCTATCTGGACAAAATACCCCAATTCTTTATCAATTCTTAAATGGATAAATCCAATTTCAACTAAAGTAGATGTAAAATAATGTTTATAGTTAACGTTGTATATCAACTGAGAGCTGAGCCAAATTATAGTAAAATCTTCTCTTACAGTATGGTATATGAGAGATAGTGGGATCTTACACTATATAAACAATTTACAAAACTAGAATTTACATTACACCTCCTGTACTGGCAGATATGAATTTTTCTATAGTTTTCATTAAATTCTCCCAAATATTTGAAAAGGTAAATGCATCCTTACCAGTTTTTGTTTGACCACTGTCATTACATCCATTTTTATATGAAACATTATCCACTATTATATTTGAGGTAGAGAGCCTATAGATGGTGCTGAGGTCTGTGCCATCAGGTAGGTGGCGCCAGGGCCAAATCTTTTGTCGGCATACTTGAAGACAGTGACAGCAAAACATGATCTTAACTAGCTCAATATAACTCCTAACCTTAGAGATTCAGATTCCTTTCTTTTGAATTCAACTCATTAATTGCTCAAACATATGTAACCAAAAGTGCTTTTCGGTTTAATTGAAAATTATTGAATAATTATAATGAACGTAACATTAACCTTTAAAAATATATGAGAATAAATCGGATTTATATTTTTATTCAATTTGCTATCCCTATTTCAGACTTCTAATTCAGTATGTTCCGAAGAAAATCATGTGATTTCAATTTGTATCATTAAAATATATTTATTAGCCTCTATATTAAAGTAAAAATGAGATATTCTCCAAAAGAATCTCAATGAATAACCCACCAACTGTTGCACAGACATTAAAAGTTTATGTAAGACAGTGAAATACTTAAATATAATAGCTAAATCAAAGGAAAAAATTTCAGTACCTTAACACAATGTCCAGTTGATGACGAATTAAACTTCTTTATCATTACTAATTATCCTGAATTTAATTGATTATTTAATTGCATTTATGGCTCAGCTAGGAAATGTATAGCTATAAAAAATGAGTGAGGGCTGATGAAGAGCAGGGCGGATGATTTATAAGTGTAGGCAGGTGGCACTGGTGACAACATTGGGTTGGGCATAGCACACAAAAGCCCAGCGGAGCCCCCCCTCCCCTTTCAAAATCATGTCATGTAGTTTTCACCATTATGAGCAATTTTTGCACGATATTTTAGCCAAAACTGTCAAAAAGTTCCCTCCCCCTTTGGCAAAATCTCCCCCTTGGTGAAACCAGCCCCCTTCTTGGTAAAAGCTAGCTATGGCCTGTGATAACATTGTATAGCAAAAATATAACTCCACACCAAGCCTTCATAAAAAAATCATTAAAATATCGAAGATTATGACATCATTACAAATTCCACTGTCAAGTTATGTTGATACAAGAAAAAATTTACATTTTTACATCTTGTTTGTCTGGGTCATTTTGTGTATTTCTTCTAATAATACCCCATTGTAATGCCTCCTCCAATGCATTATCATGTTAGACTTGGTCAACCAATCCGGTAGTAGGGACACAAGTAACTTAGATACACTGCAATATCACAAACTGGGATACAATACAGTATACTCAGATGCAATACAATATACATGTACATGTACAAGGATGCAAAACAATGGATGTTGATGAAATAAAGTACATTAAAATGCCATTTACAATGTACAATGTATGTGTGTTTAACTAACTTGGATTAACACATGTACTTTACCCTGTCAACTACCTACTGCCTACCTATGTTAAGTACCTAACCTTTGATAATCGAAGTGAACAACCCTCTATTCAACAACTATATAAATCACTGAAAAGTCATCAAGACTGCCTTAGACTGACTTTAACAAACATTATTACCACCTTGCCGGGCCAGTTCTAGGGGCTTTAGTGCTAGTTTAGAAGGCATTCATTTTACTATATCGACCTGAGCAATAAGTGACGTCATAGTGGTGGTCCATATTGACCGGTCAAGAATGCAATTCTCGACCAGCAATTTTTTCCCCGGGAAATTAGATATCGTTCAGTGCGTAAGATTTTCTTGCTGTTTCAGACCTGGTCATTAACGGTGGTAATACCAATAACGTAATTTCTGCAGGCCCTCGGTCCAATATTCTACTATATTGCCCTTCAAAATGACGTTATTGTACTATTATATTGAATTAAAATTTATCTTAAGGTTATGCATACTGTTTTAGAAACTAATCATTAATGAAATAGAACATTTTAAATTGTGATGTCGTGTGAGATTACATGAGAGTGTCAATGTAAGAAAATTAGAGAAAGTATACATGTCAACTTAACTTAGGGAATTATATCACAAATAACATACATGACACGTTATATCATATTTCATCATTAAATCACAAAATAGAAGTTCAGGCACTTGAAATTCTAGTAAACTATCAACCAGATCTGATAGCGATTCTTAGAACCATAAATTTTTCAAGTCCAACATGACCTTATCCAAATATGTATAGCTATAATTCATCGAAAGCCAATTTTATCATTTTTATCCCAAAATTAGATTTTTAAATTGTTGATCTTTGACCTGGGATCTTTGACTCATGAGCAACCACATGTATATTTTGGTAATTTTTTGTAGCCCTCAAATGACTATGCTATTTGTAGGGTAATATTCTAGTATGTTGTTGTGGCTTGCTTTACTGACAACAAATGAATCTCTTTAAGAATTAAGTTAACAACGTCTTAATAAGACTCCAGGGAGATTAACTTTCAGGATTTATATGTCATTGTGTCAGTCCTTGCTACCTGTCACTACTGCCTTCACTTTCCTAAAAATTCTGTACATGTATATCGGAACTAATATGTAATGTTTAATTTGTTCTACTCCATCCCTCCTTCCACCCCCTCCCTTCCCCTCTTCCTCTCTCCTGTCCTACTCTCATTGTCTCTCTCTCCTTATCTCTCTTTTTCTTCCATTTGACACATCAGCCTTTTACGTCAGCTGTGCATCCAATGAGTGAAATGTTATTTTGTTTTTAAAATTGAGCAATTATGAAAAAGTACATAAATCAGTTATTTACTATTCATATAATTCATAGAATGAGATAGGTCACCCTGGCATCAGAGTTTTCAAATTGATAATCTCTTCATCCTAGATTTACGTTTTAAATTAAAAATGACTTCATAAGTTAACTCACCCATTTGCCCACCAGGTGGCGACAGTGAAATGATGAATCTAATTAGCCCCCTGGGCAATCGTTGCAATATTGTCTGAACTTCTGCGTCTGTTCGTCCACCTAGTTCAGTCCCATTGATAGAAACAACGTAATCCCCAACTCTGGAAAAACAAATTGGTCTTAGATTTAAAACCTGCTACAAAGACAATGTGGTTATTCTAACAGATATTGTACACCATGTAAAAAAACAAATTATAATTTAAGGCCTACCATTAAATCTCTTATCTATCATTTAGCATTCCTAATTTTAAAATCCATATTTGATGAGCCTATATGAGGGCTGTCCCACTATACACATGTGCAAGTGCGTTGGTAATAACTCTCAATAGTAAAACAAACACAATATTGCCCAAATATATTTTGGGGTTAAAATACATAAGTCAAAAATTGACAAACCTAAGGGGGTAATATGCAAACATAGGTTCAAAGTCAAGAGCATCATGGACATTTATCAAATTCTAATTAATAAGTAAAATTGATTTAAAATCTGATATTTTCTAATTAATTTCTAGAGCGTGTGAATTATTGTATCACGATTTTGAATGTTGACCTCAAAGTGCATGCTTTGATTGTAATTTAAGTTTTATTAATATGTTTGGTTTTGTGATTCATCACATTTCACTCTTCCAGAAGACTATCAAAGTAAAATACATGTATTCAAGTAGAATTCTTTTTACTTTTTCGAATTTGGGCAGAACTTTTGCAAATTAAAAACCTAGGAAAAAATTAAATAAAAATACTTAAGTATCTGCACATATATTTAATTTACATTTTAATAACATTCACATAGTAACAACAAACAACTGCAATAACAATGAACATTCTGTGCTTTTTCTCTAACAGGAGACAATGAAATGATGCAATCTTTCTCCTTTATGAGAAAACTTTCTGTAAGATCAATAACTTAATTTGAACTCTGTTATAAAATCTAAATGATTACGGGTTAATACTTGTTTAGAAATGTTCCATAATTCTTAATACTAATATTATCACAATAATCATAAATAAACCAAAGAAAATTGAAAAAGTAATATAAGGCATACTGTCTAGCCTTATAGTAAGATCATCTATAGGATAAGTATAGAACTTCATAATTAAGTGGATAATATATTACAACACTTTATATTTACTTAACTAGAAGTGGTCCTTAAAACAAAAAATGTATTCAATGCTGAATGTATTAGCTAAGTTAGCCCAGGCAAATATCATAACAAGCAGCCTAAACTGGAGAAAATTAAGGACAAACAGATTTGCAGAATATATTCCATTATGAAAAAACTACTGGCACTCCCTCCCTTCCCCCCCAAAAAAACTAATTCAGAGCTAACTTCCATAAATATTTAACATCATCAAAAACAAACACATGTACTTTAGTTGAGTGATTAGTAGCCAAAGCTGACAACAAGAGTGAATAAATTGAGGAACAGATTAAAAAACAATATTATAAATTGATTTAAGGTGGTATATTTATATCAAATTCAGCACTTATTTGAAGATGCAACTTGTAAGTTGAAAGATTTATTTAAGTAATTAAAGACTTTTTTCTCAAGAGTGAAATACTGTAAGATAATAAGATAATGACCACATGGGTCAGAAGCTAATTATCAATATTTTCAAATTAATCAATCACAGAGTTATTATCTGGTAAAAGTACACAGGTGTAAAGTTGTATATTTGCTATATTTGAGTTTGAACATTATCGCTTTAAAGGGGGAGGTGGGGAGGGGTATATTCATAAACTTTGCTTTCTAACATTATTTTGTGGAAGAAGGTAATATATCCTTATCATTCTCAATTTTTGAATACAGACTATGAACATGGGCTTTCGACTAAATGAAAGCCCATGCTATGCCCCTATATGACCTTTATTAAGGCAATATAGATCCAAAAACCTATTTCCTATGCACTAATAAAAAATAGTCAGTTAACCTAATGACAGAACAAATCTTCACTTATAAAAACCATCATTGATTAAGCCCTAAATTCTGGACAGATGCAGATTTTATAGAAGAAATAAATAGACCATAATCATCCTCAATAATAGAATACAGACTGTGGCCCTAAGACCTTTTATTTTATTGCGGCAATATAAACCCCAAAAAACTATTTTCTATGCACAGACAAAAATAAGTCGGCTAATCCAATGACAGAACAAATCTTCGCTAGTAAAAACATCATTGATTAAGCCCTAAATTCTGGACAGATACATCTCAGCAGAGAATCTTCAGCTGGTTTCTTTAGAATAGGGGTCAGATCAATATGTTTATACATTTAGTTTAATTGTCTCAATTTCACCCCACCCTATTCTTTGATCTTGGTTTGTTCTATTTGTTCATTCTCTTTCATGGATGTCAATTTTGCTTTTTGGGTGTTGTATCTGATGTGCTTTGATTCTTTCAATTCAACTCATTCAATTGATTGCCCTTGGATGATAACTGAATATACATAGATGCTTAACTAGTCTGGCTACAAGCCTCTGTGACCCCCCCCCCCCCTCCCCTATACTTGACTAAACACCTCACACAGAGTTATAGTGGTGAGGGGGGAGAGTCACAAGGGCTTGTAGCTATACAAACACTTAACATATTTCTCCCCCTATCAATGATACTCTCCAGGTCAAATTTGATACAACCCCCAAGAATTCTACAATTAGAATTGCTACTGGACATGAACACCTGGAAGTGATTTGAAGAACAAATGAAGCATGGATGTATTCTAGAGTTGCAATAAGACTAAACATCTGCTAGCAAATGGCCAAGGTGAGGGACCAACTCAAAATATAAATTGTTGCCAGCAAGAACATTGTGGTGGGTAAGGGGGTCAAATCTTTACACTGAACATCTCAAAGATTAAAATTCTCATACATTGTATATTCTCATATATTTGATGTCTTGGCATGACCCCTTCCAAAGAGCCAAAAAAGTTGCATATTGTCAGTAACCTAAATATTGCATTTCAAATAATTTCTACCACTTGTATGGAACTTGGAAATGAAACAAAGTTTTATATTTTAGGATGTTCCATGGGAAATAGACTCGTAGAGCCTTGAGATACACCGAAGACAGACGTAACACAAATACATCTTACCAACATCATGTCACACCCAAAGCTCTATAATCTAAAAAAATAAATCGCCATGGTAACCACATCACATATATATCACTTAAAGACTTGAGATTTTATCAGTTCATCTTCCCCCAGAGGAAATGTCTGTGGGCGACATTGATCAATTGTACTAATGAATAAATAGATTTGTATTTTTTATTCCAGTACCTCAGGGATGTTTTCAAGACCATGTCAGATTATGTCAGAGTTATAAACAAAGTGATACCTGCTTGAAATCTGCACTGTATCAAACATTCTTCTTTATTCAATGTTTGCTAAGCTGAACTAACTAGACACAGTACACAGTTGTTATTCTACAGAGAGTATGAGGTAATATTAGAATCATGGGAAAAGTGTGGGTGTCATGGTAACTACGTAAACTAAATAAAAATTGAAATACTTTCAATATATCTAATTGGGTAGGTTATCTAATTCACAAAACAATTTAAATGTCTGGACACAACTCAAAAAACTTACATTCTTGACGTTTTGGCTACCTCAGGTCAAATAAAAGTTCTGAAGATGGCAACCGCAGGTAGCTGAGGAGTCAATAATGCAAGTTTTTGCGGGTAGTGTAGGGGCATTTAAATAGTTTTGTATGTACTCAATATAATCTGCATGTTTTCTAATGTTGATGTTTGTGCTTTTTCACTATAGACTAAAATGTGATTCAAATAAATGACAAAAGGAAAAAATAGAAAATATTTTAAAAACATATTATTAATCTCCTTGTAAGTGAAACAGCTTTGGTAAAAAGAACCTAAGCTTCAATAGGTTCATTTAACATTGAGGCAATGGGACTTTGAAAACAGTTCCACTTACAGAGGCAGCCTTTTGTCAAAGTGCATAATATCAAAAAAAGTTTTGGTTAGTTACTTTTATTATGAATTATACTAAGATGTGGAGATTATATTTCTACATAGGGCATCCCAAGTAGGTGGAAATGTCTAGTTGAGTACTGGGAAGTGGAAAGTGCTAAAAATATAAACTTTTGATTCATTCATGGCCATTCATAAACTGAACTAAGTTTCAGGCCATTTGTGGCCTTTAGGAAATTCTCGGTTAAGAACTTAAAAACTAAAGAATGTGAATCAATGTCATAAGTTTGTGTAGTGATGTTTGCTCAAGATCAAAATAGCCAAACTGTTTGGCAGTAAGTAAATCATGTCCTATCCATATCCACTCCAATCCTGAAATTTCTTATATTGCAATTTCTTTAGAAGATTTCAGCTTATTCAAGGAAATACTGCACTGGAAATACTGCACTGACTGCACTGGCGAATCCAGAAGCTAATAAGAAAGGGGAGCCCAAATTTCAAGGCTGGAAGAAGATTTCTGTGCTTGTGCGGAAAGGAATTTTTGGTCCCAAAAATCAAAAATATGTGGGCAAATATTTTGAAAATTTAAGGCCTATTTTTGATAATTTGGCCTAAAAAGGCCCAAAAGACCAAATTAGGCCCAAAAATGCCCTTTGAGACTAATAGCCTATATTTTCCGCTAAATAATCTCATTCACAAAGAAAGTAACTGAGGAATCAGATACATCATACTGAGTTTGTAAATCATGGACCTGTAATTGCCATATATATCCATCAATGCTGAATACACCTGGCTTTAAGAATGATTGAAGATATGTTGATAAACTGAAAGCAGCTATCTATTATCATTAAAGGCTCATCCTGAGCCCCTCCCACTCGTTTGATATATCTTAGAAATAAAACCATATACAAGAACTGGTTCTTTTATTGTTTTGGCTAAATTCTCGCCTCTTTAAAAGACTTGTATGAATTGAATAATGATATGTACATGCACCATGCTTCACTATAAAGCCACTTGGGAAAATTAAGTGTCTTACAAAATATTAGGCAAAACTATTTTAAACTAATGTTTAGTTCAAAAGAAATGGAAAGAGGGAAGACTATTTGCACTAATTTAAAGCCACCAAGGAAAAATAAACATCAATGTCAAAAAGCAATATTACCTGTAGACTTATCTAGTCAAATGATACAGGTAGACTTAGACTTAGTAATTATTATCAGTAATCAGAGGAAATCATTGGTTTTCCTTACACTCTTTCATATATACCCTGATTCCATACCAGCTAATCATCCTTCCCTCTGAGTATTACATATGATTTTGCAATGCTAATGTTAAGAAGATCTTAACAATCTCAAATGTAGCTTATGTGGCCCTTAGAAGAGTTAGAATGTGAAACAAATGAAAATAAAAGAAAGTAGGCTAAATCTAGGTGAATTCTCTCTTTACGATTTGAATACCAGAGAATTATCATTTTTGCTTGCTTTGCCATAAAGACTAATATTTTTATTTGATAATATCACTGAACATAGAAAAGAATACACACATTTTAATACATATTTTGAGCGGATTGAACAAAAATCAACTAGAGCCATTTTATTAAGAAATTCTGTGACTGATATTTCTGTTACTCTGAGAGTGTAGAAAAAGCCAAGCTCTTGTCAAGGGTATCCATTGTGGCTACCCTCATTTTTTTATGCTATCTACACAATCTTAAGTTGACCCCAGTACATTATACTTAAAAGTGAACTTTTCCTCCAAATAAGGAACCATACAGAAAATGGTATTTAAAGAATGTTTAGAAGTTTAATTATAACACCTGTTCATTATAAACTCACAATAAACTCACACAGAAATCTAATAAAAAAAAGTTGTAAACATATTATACTTAAGAATGTAATTTATAAGTTCTGATTCTTAAGCCCATTATACTTGTAAAGAACTCTTTAGTACTGCATGTCAATAGTCAAGAAAAAAACAATATTATTAAATATTTCTACTCACTTAATATTGCTGTTTTTAGTTGCTGGCCCTCTGGGGTCAAGTTTTGTCACTATGGCATCTCCATTGTCATTAGTTGCTATGGTAACCCCCAATCCCAGAATGCTCTTCAAGATGTTCACTTGGAAGGGCTCTGTAGGTGTTCTTTTATTAGAATAAAGTTTAGTCTTGAATTTTGGAGATGGAATTTTAAATTGAGATGCAGTTTTATCCTTTGTGTAGAGTGATGATATATCCTTCTCTCCTCTTAGAGATATAGGTTGATTTTCTGATTTAGTTGGTAAGGTCTTCAGTTGTGGTTTAATATTCACTTGTGGTTTGGGAAATGCCACTGGTTTCGGCTGTTTTAAATCTGGTTTTGGTTTCAAATCAGGTTTTACAGGAGTCACTGGCTTCAAAAGAGATGTCCTGGGTCTTGGAATAGGTGGTGCCACCTTTTGTGTCCCCGGTTTGGTTGCTATAGCAACAGGGTCCGTGATTTTCATGTTTGTTGTTTGTAAGTCCATTATTTGATCCTGATCTCTTGTAGAATCAATGTATTGGTTTCCTCCAGTCTCAGCATGGTCTGGAGTGGCTATGGAATCCTCAGAATGGGAACCATGTGTCTCGTTAGAAAGTTGCAATTTTGGCTCTCTAATTTCCGTTGCCTCACCTGTCTGCTCTGCTTGTCTGTTCTGAATGCTACTTTGGATGCTGTTAACCTCGGGAGGCTGTGAGCTAACATCTTGACCTGGATCTCTCATCTGATCACTTGACTTTGGAAGTGGCTCGCATTCCCCTGCTGAGGTCACTGGAAGTAATCCAATGTTATTATCTACATTGCCTGACATTCCCCAATGCTCAGCTTTCATTTCGGAAATATTTTGATTAACACTGGAGGTCTGCTCAGGTGTAGTATCTAGGATGTGATTATCTCCCTGCTGATTGTTTACATTCACACCCATCGTTGGCATAGTAACTGGATCCGTTCCCATAGTAACTGAATCATCACTGGTCCCTGTATCAACATTATTAATATCCATACCTGGGATAACAGGGTTTAATGTTTGGTATATTTTACGATCACTCTCTGGTATATCTAAAACTTCGTATGGACTCTCATTTGACTTATTTGCCTCTTGTTTTAACATATTCAGAGCCGTAGGCTGAAGTTTGGTGTATGGATTACTAGTTAAATCCTCCAGAGATGATGTGTCTAGTTTATTATAAGGTTTCTCAAGCTCTCCATCTGATAATGTCAGTGACTTGTTATGTGTCAATGCACCTGACAGCTTAGTGTGATCAAGCACTTTGTTGTGTTTGTCAGGCTCTTCATCACTATGGTTACTAGGTGACCTTGAGCGCCAATTAGATGGAAATGTGAGAGTCACTTCTATAGTTGGGCTCCCTGTGGGTGTTGAGCTAGGGGGTGGAGATGTTGAGCCAGGGGGTGGCACTGTTTGGAATGATGGTGGTGGGGTGATGATAGGAGGTGGGGGAGGGACACAAGATTCTGTATCTGACCCCTGGGTGAATGAGACATCAGTGGATGAAGGGAGGGGTAAGTTGGACTCAGTGTCTGACCCTACTGCCATCAAGCTACTAGGAGGGGGGCTCATGATTGGAGGTGGGGGTAGCTCCATCCCTTGGTCAGATCCAGAAAGTGTGCTATCCTCACTATCACTATGGTCCCCTACTGGAAGGTCATCCTGACTGTCTCTATTGAGGTGGTCTACTCCTACAGCTGTGCTATTGTATTGAGCGGGTGTCGTGTATTCATGTTCAGCTAATTGTGAAATTGGCTCTGATGTATCAAAGTCATAGGGCTCATCTGTCAAAGTACCTGTCACGAAAGATGCTTGTTCAACAGGGGACGTTTCAACTTGATCAAACAAATCCATAATTCCACTCAGCCCTTTGCGGGATCTAGGAGTGATTTTTCTCACAGGAAGATAAATATTTTGATCAATATCTGTTCTCTGTTTATCTGTATCTTTTATCTGCTTGGCTTCAGTTTGTTCATTTTCAATTGTATCATCTTTTATGTCATCATCTGCTTCATCAAATGAGTTGATAGCGTCATCAAGTGTATTAAAAGCTTCTGTGTTTTCCTTGGCATATTCTGCTTCAAGTTGTTCAAATGGATCAGCTAGAGCATGTTTAAGTTCTTCTGTGGTTTCAGGTGTAACAGGAGAACGCTCAATGTTTGTTGAAATATCAAAGGGCTCTGGAGTGTTCTTCCTAAAAGGTGAACATGGGTTGCTAAGTATCAAAGTATGAGTGGTTGGAGACAGGGAAATGTTATCACTAGAGGACACCACTGTTGAGTCATCATGACCTTGAATCTTGACCTCTAATGGAACCTCTGGTTGAACTGCAGGTGGCAACACATCAGGATCAGTGGAAGATTCCCCAATGTGTCCTTGATCCATTTCAATATGGGCCAGATCAGGAGGATATGTATCTAGTATTGCACCAGGAGGATTATTCTCTATTACATCATAGCTCTCAGTGGCTGAGTTCTCATCAGGATCATCAGAGTCACTGGTAAACATGTCATCAATATTAGTGATAGGGACATCTTCAGCTGTTTCCTCCCCAGCAGAAGTATCATCCACAATTGCTTCATTTGTGGGTGCAGTAGAAAGTTTTGATCCTCTTCTTGGTGGGGGAGGAGGTCTTTCTTTCTTAGCTGGTGCATTATCAGTTTCAGTGCCGAAATCAGGTGCCACCTCTACTATTTGTTCTTTTATGGTGGGTTTATCACCAAGATCTATAAACACTTCTCTGATTTCTTCATCACTGTCAGAGTCGACCTGTTGGTATATGACACTCTGTGGTGTGGTGTACATACCTACAATGTTACCTTGACCTTTAGGGGTCAGTGGAACAGACGGATCTCCAGTGGTCGTGATGACCTCTGTATTGGTTCCTTTCAAAAGATCAGGTACTGGAAGGTCATCTTGTTTAAGATCAGATTCAGAGGTTAGTCGAGTGAAGAGATCATCTTTTGGAGGAGGGGGATTCTTTCTCTGCATGGTAGGGGAATGTAATTTAGAAGGATCAGAGAAGAATTTTGATTTCTCTGATTCTGATTCAGTCTCTGTTGTTGTATCATCTGATGCTGTATGTCTGATTGGTCCAGGGGTTTTATACGCAAGTTTCATATTGGTAGCAGCGAACAATTGATTTGGTGGAAGTTGTGCACGCCTATGTGGAAGATCGTCATCAATGTTTATTTTACCAAGTGCATTCGAGTCACTACCACTGGACTGGGAGTCTTTCTCACTGCTTTTCACTTGGTTTGGTCCTTTCACTGTCAACACATTCAGGTTCCCAGGGATTTCAGTATAATCATTCAAAGTATCTAAATCATCACTATCTAACTGAGTGAAGGCGAGCGTCTCTTTCGAGGTTGATTTCAATATTTCTAATTCTAAATGTTCATCTGATTGCTTAAGTAGATCAAGGCACTGAGACTGTGAGAGAAGTTTGAGAGATTGTTTGTTGATACTGAGTAGTCTCACACCTGGTTGGATGTCTTTATAGCGTGAACATACACCACTTGCTAGAACCTTCTTGACCTGAAAGTACAACCAACACGTACAATTTAAATTTTCTGTTGTGTAAACTTTTCTGATGTGATTGAGTCTTGCTACAATTTTATCCAATTACCTAGCTAAATTCAATATAACCTCATCTACTATCTTCTACACATATTATATTCATTAGATCACAAAATCAAGAACTTTAATTCTTTCATTGATAAATAGCAGGTAATATACTTTAAGTATTGAGTAACTGCTGCGTTTGAGTTTTGAGTAAGTTTGTAGTTGAGCAAAAAGCATCAGAATGCTCAGATTTAACTCGAATTAGTAAAATACCTCAATGTGTGAAGTAGTTCCTATATAGCCTAATGTAGATGCTCTGATTTAAAGTTTATAACTTTAAGGAGATGTGATGTCAACATATGTTTGTGAGCCTCCGTGTAAAATATCCAAATTATTTAGCCAGTTTACTCAATCAATTTGCGCGATCTGAATTCTTCAATTCATTTTTTGCTTGATTTCCAGTAAATACATGTATGATTCATGTGTGTACCCACTTTCCCTTACCTTTATGCATTACAAACAAGTTGAAATGGTTCATTAAAGTTCACTTAATAAATGTTTCTTTTCATAGTGTTCCACCCTTACATTCAATTGATGTCACAATAACCAAAGAACTAAAATATTTCAATAATTTCAAAATATGCTTTCCTTTTAAATGTAACAAATTGAAAATATAAAAGTGACTTGACACGACCTATATCAAATACCTGCCAGGGACCATCGAGAGAGCATTACTTTGATGTTGTGTATAAATTTTATTCCCCGCAAGGCATGGTTGATCTTACTAGACATCACAGGGTAAATTTAACATTGAAAAATTAGGGGAAAACTACATTTATAGTACATTCGTGACATTTTTTAAAGTTTCCATATTTGTTTTTTTAATCATGTTGGACATGTTGACATTCCATCTTCATACATGTACATGTTAAGCCTTAAGCAATAGACATTGCAGTACTTGAGAAATGTTATGTATTACCTGCATATATAGAAATAAACAGGTATGATAATTAAAGGTAAAAAATTCACTTTATTCCTGACACATAAATCAGACTTCAGTTTTTGATTTTGTATTAATCCCAAATATATATAATCCCTCTCATTAATCCGATAATGTCTAATTAATCTAACATATTCCTTGTCAATAATAATTTCTATTCTTATATCCTTATTCATGTATGTAAGCAATCATCTAGTTAGCCTCTCAAGATATGAAACTACACTTAATTTGTTATTTGAAGTTTAAATTGAACAATACTTTTTTTGAAAACATTTGAAAATGTCTTAACAGAGCAATTGTATAGTCGTGAATGAAGCGTAAAAGTTTAAGTGCTGTTATAAGAAAGCTTTTACTTACGCTAATTGTACGTACTGATCATTCGATATAAAAATAGATAAGTGACACTTTGTAAAATGTCATATTTTATCAAATCATTTTTATAGATGTACAATACATTTTTGTGATATCTCTCAGTTTCCCTATAGCTGATATAAAGTCATCACAACAAACCCTTAAAGATCAGTTAGATTAAATCAACACATTTTAACATTTCTTTTCATATACTGAATACCCACTTGGTTGTTTTGGCACTCTTGTATAGCTTAACTTCAGTTTTTGACACATTTCTTAGAGGTGTTTCTTTAATGATGAATAAACCATACATGGTGACTTCATCAAGTTTAAAAATATCTGCAAGGGGTATACTGTAACAGTGAAAAACCATCAATCGTTTGGGCACTTCCCCAGGCATTAGCCTGTATAAAGGCTATCATCATGCTCATAATATTCCCATGGTTGGTTAAGTAGAATCATTAAACCATAATGCACTTGCAAAGTGCAGTATTATGATTTTATACTTTATATTGAAAGTAATATTTTAAAATTATAAATTTGAGATGATCGTTGTCATGATTAAAATCTAAGATGTTGAAATCTATCAGTGTTTAGGTTAAGATTGTATTACAATTTTTGGGGTTTGGATTTCTAATTCTAGCCTACTTATAGTTCAAATTAATTCTATTTTTTCTCAAGAATTATCAAACTAAAGAAAGAATAAAAATGTCTTCACAATGCGGAGAAGGCTCCAACAGATAAACAATGCATCTATTACAAAATAATTTTTTTGTTTGAAGAGAATAAAAATATGAGGCTAATTAAAAACATATGGAAAATGTAACCAATGATATATCTTTATCATATGATATATTACATGTATACTAAATTATTTATAAAAAAGTGGCTATCAGAGCATTTATTAGTTCAAGAGGTTCATAGAGGAAAACACCCTAATTAATCATATAAACATTACCATAATATATGTCTGGGTAAGGTGACATATGGTGACTAGATTTATTAATAAACTATTAGCCAGGTGACTTCACATACATATGTATGTACTCGGAAACTAGTATATTTATGTTATCATATCTACATTTAAGGAAATTCAGAATTTCAACGAACTGTGCTTTCATTATCTACATTCAAAGAAAGATGGCAGCGTTGTGAGTTCCAGCTTAACAAAATATATGTTTCTTTTGGAACTACGATCACTGTCACACATTCAACAACCTACGACAATTATTTGCTATTTTACAAAATGCTTGCATCAAGCTACTTGTTATTTTTAAAACTTATGACAGAGGGAAAATAGAGAGAAAAACAGAGACATTTATTTTTCGATGTACAATTGCAAAAGTGATTTTGAATGAAATATATACAAGCATTGCCATTTAAGCGTATTACAACTAACCTGAAAGTAGTCCCTGGTAGATCCATAGCTCGGTACAATACTCAGTCCAAGATTCTCCTCAGGACGTTTCTTGATATGAACCACATGTGTTTCAAACCCATCAAACTCACTCTCCTCATCAGCATCCTCATTTTTCTCTTCCTGCTTAGCTTTCTGTGCTTCAGCAGCCTTCCTTGCATTATCTTGTTGTATCAAGTCCATCCTGACCCTACGCTGCACAGTCAGAATGACCATGAGAGGCAACTCCTTGAAGATTTGAATCACTTCAGAGTATGTGTATTCCTTTAACTGGGAGCCGTTTATCTGTAGGATCTCATCCCCAACACACAGTCCCTTTTTTGCCCCGGTGGCTCGCTCAGAAGCCCCACCTGGTGTTACCCCTTCGATGTATACACCCTCGATTTGAGAGTTCTTATTTGGGTCCCCTTCTATGCGTAATGCCATTCCCATTCTTTCTCCCGGAAGTCTATGGAGGGTGAGAATGTCTATTGGAATGCTTTGATAGTCACTACTCTCGCTTTCTGTGCTGGAGTGCAACTTGGAAGATACTGCATTGTCTTTATTTGTAAGAGTGAAATTTGCACCTGGTGTGTCATGGTTGTTACTATGGTGACCGGGTTCTATGTTGTCACTCGTGGAATGCTCAGAATGTAATTGCATAGTAAGGTACTGTTCAGATTCTGCTGATCCAGCACTTTTTGTCTCATTAACAGGTATTTTTGGAAGACCTTCTTGTTTATTATCTTTATTCTTTTTTCTATACGGAACTTTGATCTCAGGCTCATCTTCAAAATCAGACATTTCATCTAAATTTGTTACTGGAACATCATCCTGATAATCCATGTTTACATTCTCATATATGCTCCCATTATGGGCACCACTATTTGTGTCTAAATGACCATCCTCTGGGTTTATGCCCCAGTTATCCTCACGGGATGTGTCACCAATAGAAAAATCAATCTCCATAATATCAACATTTTTCTGTTTCTTTTTACGCTTTGGAGGTTGTGGAGCAGAGTTTTGTGTAATATCTGGAGATTGACCACTAGCACCATCTATTGTGAGTTCATCTTGTGGTTGAGTGTCTGTTTCTGAAAGTTTGGAGCCCCGCCTGGGTGGTTTGGGTGGAGGAGGACGTTTAGGCCCAAAAGACTTAGACACTGGGATACCAGGGGGACCAGACTTTGGTCTGGGGACACTAGGGGCAGAAGACTTTGATCGGGGGACAGGAGGGGCAGGAACACTAGGGGCGGAAGACTTGGGTCTAGAATCACTATAGGGGTCCTGAGCAAAACTCTGCATTGGCTGCAGATTCTCACTATTTCTGATATCATAATCTAATGCTGGGTCGAAATTCTCACTATTTTCAAGCTGGCGTGTGCTCTCGAGAAATGCCATATTAGGTTGTGGGCCTCCAGGTAATCCGAATGGGGTTGCGGGTTCATCTCTGGGAGACAGTTTATATTTGTTGTCAGAGCTAATGTCTTTGGCCCTCTTCTTGTTGAAGATCTTGGGCATTAACCCCTTTAGAGGCATGCTGAGGTTGTGCGATTCCTCAGAGGCTGAGTGACGTGGTTTCTGAAAATACACAAACAGACATTCTTAAGTCTCTAGTTCAATGAGATAAAGGTAAATGCATGTCTCATCTGCTGTAGCTTTACATTCTGAAACTCATAACATCTCTCCCTCTGTGTTGTATGTCCGGAAGGACAAAGATGGTTGACCACAGTGATAGCTTTGGGGCATTAGAATTACCCGAGGCTAATTGAAATAATATAAGTTCTCTTACAAAGAAACAAGATTCAGCTCTTGAAATGTGTGCATTATACCTACTCTACTCAGCTGAAATATGATTTGTTAATTCTCACCTTTTTGATCAGCATTTTTGCTATGAATATTCTCTATAATTTCCAGATTTCTGTGTAAATTTAAATTCATCTATTTTGCATCCATTTAAATGGTTATGAGATTTAAAAATCAACCGTTTACTTGAACTGTGCTTTAAAAAATGTAAAACTGTGTTAATCTCATCAAAAGTTGGGTAGATATTGTTTGATAATCTAATCATGAATTCAGTTCTTATACCAAGATCTCCCTGGATTACAGTGTAATCTTTTATTCAGGATTTATTGGTGAGTGAATTAAAGTTAACTCAGGAGTGTTTTCTACTTTTTATGTAATCTAGTTTACAGTTTAATGTAATCCAGTTTACATATAAATGAATCATTACAAACTATTGACTTCGGCATTTTACTACACAATATCAATGTTTTAGGTTATTTTCATATTTCATCAATAGGAAATCTAAATCTGGTTTAGTAAATACATGGACTGGTCAAATTATACACCCATATAAATTAGTTGTAAACAGTTTATAATACTCTAAAATCGTATTAAAAACAATACTGTAGAAAACCCCATCTTGATTCATAAGTTTTTAGTTGCTCCATCTTGTATTACACCTTGGAAGTAAAATGCAGGCCCGTAGCCAGGATTTGCCAAGGGGGGTTCACTTTTTGAAAAATTCCATGGGGGTTCACTTGTGACAATTTTGGTCCAAAAATGGCCAAGATCACTTGAAAAGTCCTCAGAATGGTGAAAAACTGCATGATTTTGAAGGATTTTTTGGCCAGGAGGAACCCATTGAACCCCCCCCCCCCTCCCCCTGGCCACGGGCCTGAAATGTGAGCACCCTCCCAACAGTGTGACCTTCCTTCATGTGCTCATATACATTGGATGCAATATAAAAATAAATCATATTAATCCAACAGCAAATAACACTGTTGCTACGTACATTCTTATTTACCAGTATCCCTCTTTATCCAAAGCTTGCTACAGCCAATAGATATTAGAGGCAATGGAGTGTGATAGTCTTGCCTCAAGCCTAAGCACCCCCCCCCATGTCACTATGTTGTTCACCTTGACTTCCTGGTGAGAGAAGTTGGTTAAAAGAGAAAGGGTCCAGGGTCTTATAAACAAGACATGGATTGTGAATACTATGATGCAACTGTTGTTGATGATCTTACTAAGGACATTTATGGTAATATTGCAGATAAAAATTAAATGAAGCAATTAATAAAAATAAATCAATACAATCGCACAATTATGGCAGGGAGAGCTTACACCTTGACTCGTGAACATTTGTATTCTATATGGGATTGTTCTTTGTGTATTATGGTTTTATTTCAAATGATATATTGATTTGAAGATAATGCACAAGCTGTGCCGGCGCATCCTGCTTTTCCGAGATTAACGAGAATAAGAATCAATGTATCTTAACTTTAGTGTATTATATTCTACCTATCTTGATAATAATATGATACCTAGGTTAGAATGCCCATGACAATAATCTGAAAAGGCTAATAAGCCCATTTTCAGCCAAAAGATAGTTTAACAAGAAATAACATTAAGAAAAATATTTATCATCCTTCATTGTATGACAAATATACAAACTACACAAGAAGACCTTTCACTTTTAATCAAATTCCATTTTCCTTATCTATTTATCAGGAAAATAATGGAGAAAGTGTGTGTGTTTCAAAATGATATTGCAAGTTTTAAATAAATATGAATCTTAGAATTTGGAAAAATAAAAAGGAAACATAATATACATGTACCTCTTCTAGTTCAGCATTGCTGCCAGTAGGTTGTTCCTCTACATTCTCCTTTTCTTGTTCACCAATATCATCTGCAGGTTTATCAGTATCTTCCTTGTATTCATCAACTTGTTCAACAGTTCTGTTCTCTAGTTCATCATTGCCCTCCTTATGTTGCTTCAATTCTGGTTCATTTGAAGTTACTTTATTATCCTCTGCAGGTTCTGCTTCATTGTCAAACACCTGGTCACTGTCCTTCTCTTCTACAACTGCCTTGTTGTCGCATACCTGTTTGTCAACTATTTCTACAGCTGCTTGAGTGTCAAACAGTTGCTCATTTGGTTCATCTACAGCTGTTTCTGAAATCACACAATAGTCACATTTACTGAAACTTTAGAAATTTATCTGAATTTTGAAGAATGCAAGTTTCAAATATTCTTCCCCTATTCTTATTTCAAAAGATAAAATCCATATACATACAGATCCATTAAAATGTTTGAAAAGTATTTCAACTATTTCCTCGCTAGCATAGTTTCACATGACCTATTGACATCATAACTGTGAATTCCCAATGTTTAGCTGTGACTAATTAATGGACCAGTGCATGTCATGACATGGTGCATGAACCAGGTAAATGGCTGACCCCTAGATAGTATGTGATGTGACAACCCAGCGGTTGGACAAAATCACTAGAGTTAGCCTGGCGTTAACCACTGAACCATATGCCAAACTCAATTGGTGTCAAACTGCATGTTGATGTTGTTATAACCAAATGTCAATAGCTTCATTAAACAAATTACAATGCATGCTAATAAATTTTTCTAAAAAATAAAACATTTTGTTAAAGCACCGCGAATAACTTAGTTTGTCGTTTTTTCTTCGTATGATATTGTCAATATAATCAGAATCTTTCAAGAATGATCATTACTACTTGACCTAACTTAATCAAGTTTGGCTTAATAAAAACCCTAGATACTCATTATACACCTTGCTATAATTTATTAGATATTTCTATACATTCCATAATCAAGTAATATTTGTTCCTTTTAATATTCCATTCCAGTCACAAACCTTTACCTGGATCCTTCTCTCCTTCCTGCTATTAAAATCTCAATACGATCTAGTATTAGAAATAATTCCTTAAACAATCAATTTAGTACAACTGTAACAATGTATATTGATTAGAAACACCTATTGATAACTTTCCTGAGGCAACTCACTTTAACATAAAGGTCTACTCTGTCAAATGATATTAGACAGTTGATATCAATTGATATTAGACAGTTAATTGAGACTTGATTAAATATTTAAGTGATTAAACGGAATAATATTCAATAGTGTTGAATTACAAGAAAACAAATATGTTATGATATAACATGGACAACTGTCTCAAAAACCTGTTACTCTTTGTTGTACCATCATATGATATCTGACTACCTTGAACTGATTAGCTAGCTGCACCATCCCTGATTTGGACCACATATTTTGAGTTTGGTGTTTTAAAATAACTATATTAGCTAAGATAATGTTTATTTCAATTTAGTGCAATGAGAATTGTTGCTATGCAATGACTAGCTGTAATTTGTGAAATGATGCATGACTGGTACATTCAAAGGTTGACCACATGTTAGGAATGCATAAAGGGGCAAATTACGGTAAAACCTGTATTGAATAATATTTTTTCAAAGAAAAAACGTTCAGTGTTGGTAGGTGTTCCCTACAGAGAGTTATTTATACAGAAGTCAGTAGAGTATGTGTGGAGGAAAGGTGTCCATTAGAGTCAGGTGTTCATTAGAGAGAGGTGTTCACTAAGACAGGTTTTACTGTAGTGTATGTGTTGAGTAAGTCATTCTTTCAATTATGAAATAAAGTTAACACATCATCAATATGAAGTAAGTCTTTAAGAGTGCACCATGTGAAAATACATAGAATACAACAGCATGCTCAATTGATTTTGTTTCGTGCAGAGATATTCACTATTCCCCATAGAACTAAAAACATGCATTTCATTGATTTTAAATTGAATTCAATACTGCGTGTGATTTTATTTTTCCTAGAAACAGACTTCTATTTGTCTTTCATATGGGTTCTCTTTTACTGAAAATGGTACTCAGTCCTACCATAGACATAATATACTACCCTCCCCCTGTAACCTTCCTCCTTCATATATGAAAACATACATACAAACTTGAACACTTTATACTAGGTCCTATTAAAGAGTTCCCTTCAGCTAAGACACATTTTCTTTATTCAGTTTCAAAACTGATTTGCAATTATTCACCTTTCTCTAGATAAGAATAAGAACATGGGAAATGAGATGCCCCATCCCATTTTAGCGAGATTTGCAAAATCAAACCTATACTATTTTATAATTTACTTTTCATTTTACTTGCAGAATGGTACTTTCTCCATGTAATATTTCTTGGAGGTGGGGGTTGAATGTTAGACTGTAAAGAGAATTATTGGAAATATATAAGTCATCGTAACATTGATGATTAGGCTAGTCATAATAAGGTCCTATGGATTCATACCTTTGTATTGCTGTATTAATTATTGATGGACGACACTAATTAATGGGTGTGTTCATACTTGTTTGTGGGTGTACATGCATCGTGGTATCCAAAGCTACTACTCTAAAGAGCAGTTATTATCTGCAAAGTTAGAACACCTCTCCAATAGGAACAATTCATCTTATGAACACCCCTTCCTACAAAACAACATCTCTATCTAGTGAATACCTCTATTTAGTGAACAAATCTATCTGGTTAACACATCTATTCAGTGATCCCGTTTATCTAGGGAACACTTCTATCCAGAGAATACCTCTCTTGAGAAAACAACAATCCTTATGGTAAACACATCTCTCTAGTGAATACTTCCATCTAGTAAACACTGCTATCTAGAGAACACATCTAGCTGGTGAACACCTCTATCTAGTGATATAACCTTATAGACTGAAAACCCTTCAGCAACATATATCCTTGGACAACAGGTATATATGGATGATGTCAGCCTGATGTCAGCTTCTCTTGCAGGTTATCAAAGGAGAAATTTCCTTGCTTACTGCCTGCTATCTATCAGCACCACACTTTCATATACATGTACCATAAAAATAAGATCCTCTAGAGGACATAGGGGCATTCTCAGCCACAGGGCATTCCTGGACAAACCCTCGTTATCAGATGAAAATCCGGGGCATTGTTAGACTTTTACAATGTATATCAGCACATCAATAACTGTATATGTACTTACGTTAAATCCAGTTTTACAGTATTTTCAAAATATATCATCCAAGTGAATTATAGGAAGTTAAGTATAATTCCATATTCCTATATCCTATTAAATATATAAATTATCTCTCCTGTGTCTCTTTCTACAATAAGAATTCCTTCAAATGCCTTACTCATAGCTTCCTGTATATATGGCTACGTTCTATACAATAAAAGAAATTCCATATTTGCTTTGATTCTATAGCTCCTTTATACTCAATAAAAACACAGGATTCCTTTCAGTACCTGATCAATCACTCCCTTTAGCTATAGAAATACTTCACAATATCACAACAGTTAAGGTGTACGAGCTGCGTTAATTCAAATTGTAAACTTACACTTTTTATGAATCTCATTCAAACTTTTTCAATATTGAAATTGCTTTAAATATCCAGGCCTCTGTGGTACTGTATTGATAATTGAGCAATCAAGGCAGATAGGTGAAGCGAAAGTGAAATATCTAAGTGAAAGATATCAAGTATATGCTCTGCTAGACCTATTATTGCTGATATGAAAGTTTTAAACTTATCAAGGAGTTTATACAATATATAACGGATGTATTTGTCTAGTATATTATGGCACAATGAAGGCTGATTTTTGTTTACAATTGAGATTATATGATTACATGCCATGTTTGTGCACTGGAATTGAGCAATCTATAGAAGTCAATGTAATGTAAACCATGGCACTTGTAAACGAGACAACCAATGGTTCTAAGAGAAAGTCAAGATCATTTATAGTTTATATACAGTAAAACCTGTGTACAGTGAAATCTATAGAGCCACAAAAATTGTTCACTGCAGGTAGGTATTCACTACAGAGGGGATGTTTTATACAAAAGTCAGTGTAGTATGTGCTGTGAAGAGGTATTCACTATTCACAGGTGTTCACTATTGAGAGGTGTCCACTTAAACAGAATTTACTGTATGTGTTTCACATGACTGTGAAGATTTTTCAATATAAAGGGCACATGAATAATTTATACTAATCTACATCATAATTTCATATCATGTAACAGTTTTAAACATACATATTATTAATTAATCACTGTGTTAATGCAATGACTAATTGGGAAGGCAATTTTGGTGTGTTCCGTAGCTTTACTTTCTCTGGTATACCTCTCTAAGGGAAGTTGTAACTAATTTGTTAAAAAAGAGGCATCAAAAGTTACATCGAACTTTTGATGCCTCTTTTTCAACAAATTCATCTTGACATAAACTAGGAAAATGCTAATTATTTAGCTCAATGATATTAAATTCTCTTGCTTTAAGTTGAGATATGAAATTAACAGATCATGTTCGCCATCTATTAAATACAAAGTCAACCATTTTCATATAAGAAGTTATTCCCAATGAACTCTGAAATCAGTATGAGCAAACAGGATTTTTGAAATATAACACCCAAGCAAGAACAATGTGGGATCACACACAACCAACACAAAAAGTGCAACAGAACCACAATGCATTACACTACTAAAGTTAAGTTTAGCTGAAGAAGCAACTCCTAAATTCGAAACATTATGAATTTTGCCCTAGAAACATTGAATCTCATAACAGTGAAATAATAGAATTTTCACTCCCTTTCCAGTTTACACTCGTATACCCTGGACTCACTCACTCTAAATAAAACAGATCATTTTATATTATGGAATTCAAGCAATCAGAAAGCACTGTAGCATGTTTATATACATGCACATAGGGGTTACCAGCTTTCAGTCTGGAGGATGCGATTGCCAAAAAAATTTCACTGGTCAGTCAGGGGGGTGCGATCGTGGCATAAGCGAGCAAAAAAATTTGATGTTCTTTTCCTCCTCTATCTAATGGTTTTATTTTTTATCGGTTATGGGGGGGGGGGTGCGATGGGCCACCCCCCCACCTGGCTACACCCATGATACATGTACATATAGAACTGCCTTGTAGAGATGAAAGCCTGCAGGTGAAGAGGTTTACCCCTAATATAATGAGTATAATGAGACACTGATCAGTCTTGCAAAGGGCACTCCATGTAGACTACGATGAACAAAACAATGTGTTTTCAGAATTGTCCTGTGGCCAGATGTTACACCTGAACTATGCCTAAAATGTACACACTACTCAATCTAAACTATCATATATAACATCACTAGTCATAAACCTATCATTTTGTCTTAAACACCTTGTTCATATAGACTCATAGCTCTACATCATATACTATACTGTCCAGTGATTTATAGCATACACAGTATGTATAGGGTGTGGGAAACCATGGATGCATGGATGTACTGTACTTTTCTATACAGATTTCAACATGAAATGACCCTTTGACAGCTCTTCTTAATTAGTTCATTTCAAGTCATAACCTTTCCAGTGGTATATGATCTCCCCTCCACTTTCTGAGAACTTGTAGATGATTTTGAAAAAATATATTGGTCAATTTGAAGCAAGTTGAAAAAATACCTTTTTTGACCCTGAGAAGGTCATTGCAGGTGAAATCTCAAATCTAAAGTCAGATTTGAACTTCTAAGAACTTGTAGATGATTTTGAAAAAAAAAATTGGTCAATTTGGAAAAAGACCTTTTTGACCTTGAAAAGTTCAAATCTTTTTTGACCTTGAGAATGTCATTGAAGGTCAAATCTATAGCCAGATTTGAACTTTTGAGAAATTGTAATGATTTTGAAAAATGAAATTGGTCAATTTGAAGCAAGTTGAAAAAAGACCTTTTTGAATTTTTTGGACCTTGAAAAGATCATTGAAGGTCAAATCTTAAATATATAAACTTTGAACTTCTGAAAACGTGTAGATGATTTTGAAAAAAAATAAAGTTGGTCTTAAACAGTATTTGTTAAGTTATTGGAAGTTGTAAGAATTTGCTACAGACGCCGATCGCCAACCACCAACTGCCGTCAAAAAAGAAACAGGGACTATAACAATATGTCACCACTTTTTGGTGGTGACATAATAAAGGATGGGGAAAGGGGTAGGTAAAACACAAATTATCTAAAAGATGTCTGAATCATTTACTGTCATAATTAAAGTACTTACCTGTTTTCTGAGGAACCTCTTCACCAATATCTATCTCCATAGCAACCGGCACCATCTTAGGAACTGTGGCGGCCTCTTTTGGCAGAATCCTTGGTGGAGGACTTACAGAAGCAAACTTCCTGGGAGAAGGTTTTATGTGTGCCCCAGATGAACTGACTGATGAATACCCTTTGGTAGACGAGGGAACGATGTTTGATATCTGATTGGAATCATTGAGAGAATACGCCTTGGGTGTCACTAATGATGTGTATGTCCCTCCGGGGCTTTTCAAAGCTGACGCCTGGAAGAAAAATGAAGTTAATCGGGAATTAAAACCTGGACAATCGAGCGACAGATTATCCTTTGGCTCCATGTTGTATTTCTTCCTTCGCAACATTTTGATATGTAGTAGTAGTTAATAAATATCCTTGGGCGCTGTTCCTGGTGATAAATTAATCCCAGTTGGTAAATCACTGCATTATTGAGTTACATAATGTGTCTCCAATTAAGAGTGGTAATAGCTTCAATAATTCATATAAATTGTCACATATGATTATTCTAAAGGGAATAAACCAAAATAGAATCCACACGTTAACTGATGTATTAAAGTTTGTATTTTGTTATTGTCACTTAATATGGCCCCAGAGATGTCTTTTATGTCAACTTTGTATTACTTATTTATTCTAAAGAATACATGTATTTCATTAAATTCCCTATCCTGATGTGATTCAGCATGTCAGCACTAAGTTCTATCCACCAGTATATCCCATGCCTCTATTAATAATATTCCATGCCTGCATGTACAATAAGTCAGCACCTGTATTTGGTGTCAGAGCTTTAACATTCTAACATATATTTTATCATACAGATAAATCACATATCCCATGCTTGTAAAGTATATAAATATGTTCTGCCAGTGATGTATCAATCCAACAGTCCCCTAAGTATTATGTCATATCATAGAGATATCCCATATCTCATGCTTGTACACTATCTAAATATGTGCTGTCAGCTGAGTAAAATTCTGACAATCACCTGTATATTCACGAGTAAACTGATAGATATAACTCATATCCCATCATTGCTGTCTAAAGTGTATGTACATCCAGTATATATTTATCATATCCTATGTTTGCATGAACAGTATAAATGCCGATATAAAAACAGACTCGGCTAAATTTATTGTCCAGATGCAGGTATTCAGGATGTGTAGCCATTCTATAATTTGTCCCGTTCATCTGTCAGCATTCCAAATGTCAAAATGGACCCCTTTTTCTAATTTTCCAAATCCTAATCGCAGTAGTAAACCAAGAAATGGAATGAAGTGTGAGTTCAAAGAGAAACCCAAGCTATAACTAACACTTTGAATTGATCGTAGATTGTTTGAAATGTTTAATACAATGCTGAGAAGTATTTGGAGGCTATTGATCATAAACGGAATCCACCTATTATTGTCTATGTATTATGTAGATCAACATGGCACAATGTATCTTAATTAAAATGTAATAATTAATGACTTTATAAAGTTCATCAAGTGATTAGAAATAAAGATTTTCATCGTTCTAAGAAAATAAATTGTTGATATTTTAGTGTGTTAAAAACTATACTTAATAATAACTCATTAGAGGATCTTTATCATTTTATTGTGGGTTGTGATAATTATGTTGATATCAGAAAGATTATGATTGAAAATTTGATTAAGGAAAATCCTACATTTAAGAAACTTTCATGTGAGGTATTATATAACATTATTTTAGGCATGGAGTTTCCAATGAAAAATTGGGATAATGTTTTGATTATTTCATGTAAGAGTGTCTCAATTATGTACCAAAGAAGATTTTTTAGCTGATTTACCAATGTATCCATTGTTATTTTGGGTCTAAATTTTGCCCATGTATACATGACTTGTATAATTCATGATAGTGTAATTGTCTAATTAGCATAAGGTATAGTGTAAGATTGTTTTAATTGTCAAACTATTCTTCAGTATTGGAGGCTAAATAAATAAATAAATAATTCAGATCATACGGATAACATACTAGTATACAGAAATTCTTGGAACTGATGAAATCAAAAGTATGACTAAAGAGAAAAAAAATAACTTCTTATATTACATAATTTGATTCTCTCCTAATGATAATCTAGTACATGTAATAATTATATATTTTTTTCATTTGCCATTGGGTCACTTATTTCAGGACAAAATACTCCTGTGTAGAGTTAATGCATGTAACTAGCATATAAATTGTCCCTTACATGCTATATATTGGAACATGAAGTATAAATGGCAACAACTAGAGATATAGGAATGATAATTAGGCCAATTATATGGGGTGGATGCTTGTTCCATCAATACTTCTTGTCAGTTTCAAACACAGAAACACGCAACTTCATTTGTATGTCACTTTAAATCTTTTCCTAACCAACAAGTGCTAACTCGAATTAGAAACCAATTTGTGAGATTGAACTTTGCAGAAATAAATAAATTTTCACATTGGGTTATATAGGTAAGCACTAGAAGTAATTTACACATGCAGCTTTCAAACGGGACAATTTCTCCTGGCCTTATAAAGATGTCAGGCAGAACTAAGAGTGTATAGTATGTCAGTGTATTATGATTACATTTTGTGTCATGCTTTATTCATGCACTGATGACCCCCCCCCCCCCTCCACACACACACACACACAAACACCTTCATTGAAATCCAACAAACAAGTCTGATATCAAATCAAAGGACACAAATGCATTTTTAGGATCATGAAAAATCCTTATCCTTTCCTCAACTCTTATCCCACTTAAAGGCCCAATGAAAAGTTTTAAATACAGGCTGTTATACGAGTGTAATTTTTTCATTCAAAACAAATCTTCTTAAAACAGGTTAATTTTTATTTGCAATGCATTCAAACAAATAACCTAGGATTTAAAACGAGATACAAACTTGCATTTAAATGCAAATATGAATTGGAAAATAAAAATATTGTCCAAAATGGTTTAAAATCACAAAAATCACAAATACTGTACTGTTGATGAAAGTAAAAGTGTTTTACAATTCATGTACAGGATTCGTTAATTACATAATTATATTTTGTCAAGAAATGCAAATTTTAAAATAATTATTTAGTGAACCTTTTCAATTCATCAAAATATGAGAAAAATATTGACTTAAAAAACTTTTCATATGGCCTTTAAAGAGGACCATGCATATGTATCTCACCCTGTGGTATGAATATGGGCGCAATGAACGTGAAGAGTATGGCCTTGCAGCACTACCCCAAGGCTTGGCCCCCACTAGGGAGGTGTAGCTGCTAGGGTAACTACCAGACCTCAGCCCAGGGACATCCTAATACAACATTACACATAACAGTGTTAGTTTAAAACAAAATTACACAGTGTGCAATTGCAAAAACAGTCAAACATTAGGCAGTGCTGATTAGGGGTACTGCAAGCGCTTGAGTGCCCCAGCACTTGAGCAATTCACCTCCGATACGAGCTGTATCGATACATAAAAAGAATATCGGTCGTATCGTTTTTTCACCGGAAGTCCCTTCTTACTTACCCAATGGAAGGGAAAACAAGGCACAGACGTGAACAATATCGTACCTAAAACACAGCATTGTGGTCTTGTTGACCAAGAAACCAAGATGGCCGCAGAAAAGTTAATCAGCTCTACAACTTATCACTGTGTAACATATGTAAAAATTTGAACAGTTTGGCTGGAAACCTGTAGACAAGTCTTGAAAGTGAAGATTTTAGGACGGAAAATCCAAAATGGCCACCTTAAAATTTACCCAGAATGCCAAAAAGCCAATCAGTTCTTGACGTTGATATGTAGAAACATGCCTGAAAATTTCAGATGAATCCCTCAAATGGTTTGGCTGAAAATCTGTAGACAAGTCTTGAAAGTGAAGATTTTAGGACAGAAAATCCAAAATGGCCACCTTAAAATTTAACCAGAATGCCCAAAAACTAATCAGTTCTTGATGTTGATATGTAGAAACATCCCTGAAAATTTCAGATGAATCCCTCAGATGGTTTGGCTGGAAACCTGTAGACAAGTCTTGAAAGTGAAGATTTTAGGACGGAAAATCCAAAATGGCCACCTTAAGATTTACCCAGAATGCCAAAAAACTAATCAGTTCTTGACGTTGATATGTAGAAACATCCCTGAAAATTTCAGATGAATCCCTCAAATGGTTTGGCTGGAAACCTGTAGACAAGTCTTGAAAGTGAAGATTTTAGGACGGAAAATCCAAAATGGCCACCTTAAGATTTACCCAGAATGCCAAAAAACTAATCAGTTCTTGACGTTGATATGTAGAAACATCCCTGAAAATTTCAGATGAATCCCTCAAATGGTTTGGCTGGAAACCTGTAGACAAGTCTTGAAAGTGAAGATTTTAGGACGGAAAATCCAAAATGGCCACCTTAAGATTTACCCAGAATGCCCAAAAACTAATCAGTTCTTGATGTTGATATGTAGAAACATCCCTGAAAATTTCAGATGAATCCCTCAAATGGTTTGGCTGGAAACCTGTAGACAAGCTGAAAAGTGAGACGCCGCCCGCCCGCCCGCCGCCGCCCGTCAAGCTGACTACAATATCGTACCTTTTGTTAGGTACGATAAAAACTTAGAGATGACAGAAAGTCATAGTTACGTATCTTGCTTGCCACCTTCGTTTGCCCCGCTAGTTCCTGAATACCACACATTGTTTCCGGCTTTACAAGTTTGAAAAATTAGGATAAAGTTCAGTTTTACTTCAATATCATGAGGTCAGTATCGTAGATATGTATCAATATTCAATTTCTTGTATCGTGGTACTCCTAGTGCTGATATGTTATAAGGTGATAGTTAGCGACAATATTACACAAGTAAGCATATCACACATAGTATTAGCAGAATACAGGGTATAACACCACACAATGTTAGCATGTTATCATTCATAGCTTGTACAGGCTATATATACTGTAAAGCACAACATCACAGACAATATTACTCACATTTAAGCACAAAACACACTTAACACATCACAGACAATATTACTCACATTTAAGCACAAAACACACTTAACACAATGTAAGCATGGTTAGTTAGTTAACTTTACATAGCATAGTAGTGTGAACATGTTAAACAAAATAGAGTTAGTATAGATTAAATATGAAGTAAAATTAAATTAATCTAAAACAACTAATTAAGAAGCACTTTAGACAATGTATTATTGTTATATTGTGAACTGTATTTCAAGACCCCTTAAGGTAGGCAGAATAGAAGAAGTGAGTTTGGCTTAGTAATAAGAAACTTTAGATAATGATAAAGTTTTGCGATAAGTCTTGCCCCCCATCCACACCCCGATCTGTTCCCAGTTGAGTTAGAGGGAAAGCGGGGGACAATTCTACAAGATGTAAGACTAAAACAACTTCAGAGCATTGAAATATTAGACCCATTTGGTCTCTTACCTCTGAATGTTTCAGCACAATCAGTTTACAAGGTCCTGGCTGGACATTTCTGAATATTGCGTAGACCTCCTTCAGGCGAGCATTGATAAGAGAGTGGTCATTTACCTGGAGTACTTGGTCTCCTTTGCTGAAACAGGCAAACACACAACCATTAAAATGGAACCTTTCTTAAAAACACAATATTTGAAAAATATTTTACATTTATACACAACTAACCAGATTATGGTTTAATATTAAGATGACATGGTAATAAGCTGGTACCTCAGAACAACCCAATATTGCTTTCCAAAGAAAGAAAAGTTTGTGGAAATTAAATTGTACAGAGATATTTTACCTAGCTGACAAACAATGAACAAATTACACAGAACATCTCCTCTACAAATCAAAATATTATAGTGACTCTGATCATCCATATCATATGTCACCCTCCCTGACTTACTTTAAGTTTCCATTGAGCTGTGCAGGGGATCGCTCTGCCGTGTCCTCCACAAATATACCATATAAGCCCTTCTTAATCTCCTTGCAGACAACACCAAGGCCAAGACTTTCATCTGCCACTGTAGGAAACAACATAAAATATATAATAACTCTAACATTAAATGCAATATTTGTCATCTTGTGAGTTTTTTCCTTTGAAGTGTTTTAAGATGTAGGATTAGCCAAGTCGTATTCAAATTTATTTCAGCTTCTCAATATAAAGGAATATATACTAGCCCAACTAGTACTACTATTGCCACTTATTTTTTTATCTGTCTAGCAGTCCTCGACTTAACAATAGAGAAATATTTTCCAGAATCTTTGAATTGAATCATGTGAACAACAACTGTACCTTTATGTAGTACAATTTCTGACATCTGTCCAGTATCCATGGTGATATCTCCAGGTGAACCAGTATCCTTGGTTACCTTGGTTATGTTACTACTAGGAGCCTGGACTACATTAGACTGTATTGGCACTTCACTCTCAGCAGTTGATACCTCGCCGCCACCTGGTGAGCTACTCTCTACACACTTGTTACTCCCAGATGACGACTCAAATTCAACTTGCAAATTTTTATTTAAATCCTCGATCTGATCGATCACTTTTGAAGATTCCTCGTCATGTTGTGTTGATATGACGTAATTGTCCGATGACGTGTCCTCAGATTCAATACTCGAGATGCTTGACACACTGGATGTGCTTGATGTGCTTCGTGTTTTTCTACGCCGAGGTATCCCAGATTGTTCAGTTTCTGTTGATTTTGTACGACGGTGTAATTTTTCTAAGGCACCTGATTGGTTGAGCTCCTCCTGAACACAAGGTAGAGGTGACGCAGGTGTGTCCCCAGAGATACTGGACTGGGGAGTGTGGCTTGGGGTAAGGCTTGGACTGAAAGAACACAAAAATTATATATCAAATACAAAAATAATGAGATTCAATTTTCCTGTGTCAATTTATACAAATATGGTTTAATCATTTGACCATTTGATTGAAGAAACATTATCTTGAAGATGTAAAATATAGTAACTTTACAAATTATATCCATCAAAATCTGCTACATTTTCATTAATTAACATGTTGTGTAATCTCTCCATAGTTCTATATTGTCTCAAAACATTTTGTTTACATTAAAGTTTAACCCCTTCCCAAAAATGTAATGTAATCACTTAAAAAGTTGCTTCATTTTAAAAATTGATATTCCCTAACAAAACATAATAGATGTAATTTTATTTAACCCCTCCCCAACTGTTAAAAATTAATTACAAAACATGATATGGATTCACAACAGTGTATTCAGCATGTCTGCAATGTCTCAATATCTAAAAAGTTTAGTTTAGTACCTGCACGCCCATAATATACAACAGACCTTTATTAAATCTGGGGTCAATTTCTGAGTACCCGGAACAAGAGTAAAATATCCATAGAAATACTTCTGCATTGAAATATATTAAAAACTTGTAAAATCTGAAAAGGCTCATTGAGTAGAATCAATGGGGTATAGATCATTACTGTCCAGGGTCGAAATAATAACAATGACCCCCTTTTATGCATCTTCATGACATTTGATTTAACATTTTAAGATATAGTTAAAAATATATTAAAAATAATGCAGATATATAAATTCAGATTACCTACTTGTAATGGATGTTAGTGACATATTTTCGCTGAAAATGTCTTCTAAAATCAGTTTAATTTTGGTTGTTTTATTTTAGTCTATATGAATTTGAATTTTGTAATTATTAACATAAAACATAAATACCTATCTCTTTAACACATCCAAACATGACATAGGCAATCAAGTATCCCTAGTATTTAAAAAAAAACATGTTGGCATTCTTTAAAGTTAAGAATCTTTGTTGAACTATTAATATACCACATATGTGAAGAAGACACTAGGTTAGATTGCCCTAACATGAGGTAACATCCCTTAAATACCACTTAAATAACAACCACCAACATGTTTAATATTAAAATATCTAAATACAAACTTACTGTAAAAAGATAACTCCTACGTACAGTGTAATCCAAGAGTGCTTGCGTCTATTACATGGTTCCAAACCACTGACTTTTCTTCCACATTTCAAAAGGTGGACATATATTTAAAATGTCATTTTTATTTATTTTAAAGCTTTTAAGTGTTTACACATCACCTTCTCACTTATCTGTATCTTTTTATTCAAATCTAAGATGAAGTTTCAATGAAATGGAGTTTAATGTGCCCATATGAATGTATATCAACTATATCATATTACCAAAATGCCAGGTAAAATCATACAGGTATTAGAACCATGTATTTGTAATACTCCTTAGCATATAAATTCCAATCTTATTCATATTTCATATGTATGTACATGTGTATATGAATATAATTAATTACTACTTCACAGAGGTTAATGACAAATCAGGTAACATATTTTAAGTTGTTCTGAAATGTAATAAGTTCTACAGATGTTCACTAGTATAAAGGGTGGGATATTGAGTTACATAAGGCTAAGGAAAATTAAGTATTGAAATATTGTGGTTTTGAGTTGAGGATAAGAGTAAAACGTGACAATTATACATATTTAAAATATACTCATAAAAAAATAATTATATTATTTATAATTGTTTTACTAAATTTTCTCATTTCAAGTATTTGGTACATCCATTTTTCAGCTAAATAAATATTTTACTCATCTAAATTCTTACACTTCTTACCAGTCTAATTTTCCCTGACCATTTTAGCCATTTGACTCACTCTTCCGCATTTCCTGACTGAATCAAAGCAACCCTTCAACACATTATTCACAGTTACTGGCCACAACATAGTACAGTACATGTAGGGAAATTATATTCCAGGAGTACAATATCTTTGATTTAATTAACCAATTATTGCACCTTTTGTTTTCTCTATACACTGTATTTACCCAGAGGTGTTCAGTAATTAGAGGTGTCAAGAGTCAGATATTTTTCGGACCGGGTCGGGCCAGAAAAAAATGTGCTTGTGTGATTGATTACTTGGTGTTGGATCTATATTCCGATGGACATTGTCTGATTGTTATATAGTGTTGCTAAAATAATGTAAGATAGTGACTAACCCAGTAATAAAATTGACATTACAACAAAACTAATAATCAACCCTTTTCAATCTAGCATAGGGCACTCTCAGCCTCTCACCTTGTATAAGGACTTGGTCCTCTGCTACGTACATTCAGGTTGACCACACCTTTCTTGACAAGTTTGAACTTAGCAATGGCCTCCTGTCTAGTCAGTCCTTGGAGGCTGTCACCATTCACACTCAAGATCTCATCACCTGAAAGAGAAGTTTCAATACCCTGATGAAATTCAATAGACATTTGAACTACCCTCTAACTTATACAGATAAGTTAACAGTTTTGATTCCTATATATGTATATATGTTGCTAAGTTATGGCTGAGTCACATTTGTTCCTGCGTGCGGCCAATGTTCAAAACTGAATACAATTTTGCACAATATAGCAGGGAATTTGAACGAGTGAAATATTTAAAAGTCAAAAAATTGGATGCACTGAATCGGAGCAAATGTGACTCGGGCATTAATAGTGTTGATGCATGCATGCATGAATGGATAAGCTCACAGCCAGGCCACTACATGTATATCAAATATTCAATCAGCCATAAAATGATCAGCCTTCGTTAACAAGGATAAAATGTATGTACAGTTAAACCTGTACAATCCTCTAAAATCAGTTGACGACAGAGATCATTTCTAAACATTTTAATACAATTTTTGTGTAAATTGGATGAAAATTGTTCTTATAAGAGCAATTTTAGTGAAACATTTTGTGACAGCTTTTCTCGTCCATCTGGGTGTCAAGGTCATATCTGAGGTGACGAGAAATCTCATCACTCCAGGTGGTCAAGAGGTTAATGTGAATACTTTTTCACAGTTCAAAATTTGTTATTTCATATCAACTGACATGATGATAAAACCTTAAAATGTGAATACCTGCTAATCAAAACACTTTTGGCGGGTTCCAGATGTGTTTGAATTAGGCAGGTTTTACTGTAGTTGATGTGTCTACAGCAGAGCCTCAAAAATGGCTCAAACTGAGCTGATATCCCATTTAATATGGAGCAAATCTTGGTTTTAATGATGCTGTGTGTTTGACTGATGGGAAGCTATTTAATGCTGGTAATTAGATGTTGTTGATAGAATATATCATGTTCTTATGATGGGAGACACACTGATTAACACTATTATGGAAGTGTTAACAAGTTACATAGTAGGGGCAATAACATATCGTAAGCCCACATAGTCAACCTCTATAGACATAACAATCAATTTAATACTATAGTTAATGAAAGTTGAAGAAGTTGCCATTTGTTGCAGGCGCAGACTGCCGTCCACAAAAAAGTTTGGAGACTATAACAATATGTCACGTTGTGGTGTTGACGACATAGCAATATACCCTCTATATAATAAATCTAATACAATACCTTCTCTGAGTCTTCCATCTTGCGCTGCAACTCCAGTGGGAAAGATTGTTTTGATGTAGATTCCAATGTTGCCCCGTCCTGAGTCCCTGCCCCCCACAATGGAGAAGCCAAGACCCTTGCCCCCTGCCCCCTTCATCAGCGCTACTGGGTGGGGCCCAGGCAGCTTGCTTCTCCGACGTGGACTTAATGCCAATGACATCTCTAACTGAAAATTGATCATTAAAATTGACTAAAATTTCAATACAGTTCAAGATATGTACTTTACTAAATCGATTCCTGGTAGTATTTTTTCTGATGTTTCCCTTTTGCTTTCTCATTCAGATATAACTACACAAAAACAGAGATTTGGGTAAAAAAACAACTGGAAACCACACCCTTGCCTCACTATATGAACATCTTTTAGATTAAGTTACTGTAAAATATTACGCCAATATCCATAGAACTTACTTTGGTGGAAAATTTGAAATTGTGGCTGGAGGTCTTACCTGACTTGTATCAGAAGTTGACAACCTTGATTCCCTGCTCCGATTACGCAATTCTAAATCACATGTGTCCTCTTGATCATTGGGAGGCTGTATATCTGATATTGATAGCTTATTCTCATTTAAAAGTTGACTCAAGATATTTCCTTCAGTTTCAGGTTCAGTAATTTGTTGTGTTTGTTCAGTGTGTTTGATCTCATGCTCTATAGTATCATCATCCTCAATGTTATCATTTGCATTTTCATCCCCCACTTTTGGCTGACTAGTGCCCCTTGGTTTGGGTGGTTTAGGTGGTGGAGGAAGCAACTTCCGTTGTTTAGAAACTGGTAATTTACTCCGAGGAATTTGCACGTCTAACTGTGCTGTATTGTCTTTAGCAAGAGGCCAATTTTCATAGTTATGTTTAGTCTTTGTTGTCGTTGCTATAGCAACTGTATCACATTCTTGTTCGTGTGTAGAAGCTGAGCTTGTAGTATTTTGAGTATTTGTTGTGGTTGTATCACAGGGTGTTGTAATGTTACTTAATGTTTGTTGTCTGTGAGTTACATCCAGCTGTTTTCTGCCTCTATCCTTACTATCACTTACCTTATCCCTACTATCACCATTAACAATTTGACTAGATGTTTTGTTATCCAATGACTCCTCTTTATCTAATTTTGTAATCAAATTTTCAGTTTTAATTCGATCGGGATAAGATAACTCACTTGTTACATCGATGGGACTTTTTACACTATTCTGCGTTAAGGGACTTATTTTTCTAGGACTTGGAATTCTACTGTTTTCATAGGTTAACGTTTTACTGATTCCATCTCGAGAATTATTCCCTAGGCTATCTTTTCTGGGACCAACTGTTTTGGGACTATATTCTCTGGGACTATTTTCACTGGTAAAACTATCACAGGAGGTTAGAGATTGGGTCCATGATGTCCTACTAAAGGTAGGACTTGCATTACTACTGCATAAACTACTGGTCTCAGATGCCGAATCAAGGAAACTTTCCTGAAAAATAAAAAAATGAAAGATGAGAATAAAGATCATCGTACATGTTTTTTAATAATTACTACCACTGATTATTTTAACCATGGCCAAATATTTTCAAGCAATCAAATTGTAAAAAATTGTAAAAAAGTAAACAGCAATGATAACTTTTTTGTTGATTATTCATTAACTGATTGACTTAAAGAGACTGCTGAGTATATATGACTATTATTTTTATGTATTGGATAAGACATGAGACTCGAAATAATAACACTGAATAATAAGTAAAAAATTAAACCCTCTTCAATATAAAGCTATTTTAAATATTTACAAGCTTCAAAATGTCAAATATTTTATACTCTAGTCAACAAAAACTTTTTCGCTATAATGCCATTTTCAATACATATGTATGTTTAAACTTTAAAATGTCATATGTATCTTATGTTTTGTTAAGAAAAAGTTTTTATGACAATTACAGACATTACATATGTGCCCTGAGATCGTAAGTGTCCTGAGATCAAGAAGGTAGTAAGAATAACTTCCCTCTGGATAGGATAAATATAATTATCAAAACATGTGTATGTTGTTCATGTGTAGGTATTCACTACAGAGAGGGTAGTTAACACAAAAGTCAGATGTGTTCACCACTAGAGACAGGTGTTCACTAGAGAGGGGTGTCCACTAGAGACAAGAGTTCACTAGAAAGAGGTGTTCACTAAGACAGATTTTACTTTATACAATTTTGATGCTGATGACACCTTAATAACCCAAAAAGGAACAAAAATGGCATAAAACAATGTGACTGCAATTATTCCGGTTGAAAAAGGCTATAGACAAAAAGACCATCTCTTATTTAAGAGTAAAGATGAAGCTCTCTTTTAAGGATGAAACTCAAACCATTGAAAAATAAAAAACATGAAAAGAATAGAAGAAGAATCTTCTGATATTGCCACTTACACTTGTTGGTTGAAATCCTTTAGGCCTTTTAGCAATGAGGAGCTGTACAATTTCCTCTGTGTTTCTCAGGACTTCTACTGCCTCATGATGTGTTAGACCTTCAAGAGATTTACCATTGATTGTTAAGATTTCATCATGACGTTTGAGTCTACCATCTCTGTAAATAAAATATATTTAATTATTTCCTTTTATCATGTCTTATGAAAAATAGAATGATTTTTATTCTTAGAAATATAATATGTTTCACTTTTTTGTACTTGGAGGCAAAACTCTAGAACTATACAATTACAAGGCTGAAAAAGAATTTACTCAAATACACCATTATCAAATCTAATTTACCATCAAAATATTCTTTGTTAGATGTTAACAAAGTTATCTCAAACTTTTACTTTACCTCAAATTGATTTATTAAATCAAATTGTTCCTAAGAGTGAAATATATCCTCAAATGTTCAGTTCCTGAGCAAAGCGTTCAACATGGGAAAGAGATCAATTTAAACTCATTCAGTGAATCTACTAAACCATCAATACATGCAATACCATTAGAGCATTAGGCTTATGTATTTTTGCATAGAGGGCTACAATGTCATCGAAAGAAATAATCAGATTTCATGTGGAGTTTATGTAAAAAGTTGCTGAGATTTCATAAGAAGATTGTTGTAAATATTTAGCTAGTTTATCCAAGTCATGCTGAGTTTACCCTGCTCTCAACTGACTCTCCATTCCATACCTCTGACTACTATAGATAATTTTATAGCTTTGAGGCTGAAAAGATCTTATGAATTTTGTGGAAGTTTAAATGTGAAAAATGTGATATTTATTTGAGATGCTTTGGGTTGAATTGTCATGATCTTCAGATATATATTCTGCTTGGATTTTTGGGCTATCTGGAATATCAAATAACCATCTTGAATCTAAAGGGTATGTTGAGCTCCACAAGTCTTTACTCTGGAGCATTAGTTTATTTCACATGTAGTACATGTACTTGTTCACCTAAAAATCTTTTTAATGATTCAAGATTAGTAACAATAGGTTTATTCACAACTCATTAAGGTAGATCAGCATAATGAGAATACATGTGCAGGGGTTTCATTAGCAGCAGGCAACAGGCGATTTTCACCAATTGTTTTCACAGAAGCGCCTGTAGTTTTTAGGGACTTTAACTTTTCCATGTTAAGGTGCCATGGAAGTTAACAGGAAATGACAAAACAGGAAGTGACCAAGCCATGCTGGATTTTGAAAATTTTTTGAAGCAAGATATCAGAGTTCTGTTTGGACCTCTAGTCAGTTTTACTAGTTCCACATATCATTTACATGACTGGGAACACAATGGAAATGGTCAGAATGACCATAAAGATGATGAAATAACCTTTTCAGCCCTCTGAAAATGTGACTGAAAAATAGCTAAAAGTAGGTGCTCAGGAAAGGTCACTGAACAGAATCTTTCGATTTTTTCAGAAAACGTGTCCAATATATTGCTCTAAATGATACAATCTTTGAAATTTTAAAAAATTGTCTGAAACAATAATGGCTGTAGTAAAAAGGTAAATCGATCAATTTTCGATTCAGTTTTTTTCGTTTTTTTCTTTTTCTAAGAATGATATCAAATTTTTTTAAATTGTATCATTTTAAGCAATATATTGGGCAGATTTTCTGAAAAAGTAAAATGATTCTGTTCAGTGACCTTTCCTGAGCACATACTCTTAGCTGTTTTTCAGGCACATTTTCAGAGGGCTGAAAAGGTTATTTCATCATGTTTATGGTCATTCTTACCATTTCCGTTGTGTTCCTGGTCATGTAAATGATATGTGGAACTAGTTAAACTGACTGGAGGTCCAAACAGAACTCTGTTATCTTGGTTCAAAAAATTTTCAAAATCCAGCATGGCTTTTCACTTCCTGTTTTGTCATTTCCTGTTAACTTCCATAGCACCTTAAATTTATGATTTCCATTAATTTTGGCTGTTGTTTTCATTTATTTAGCTTGTTGTGGGAAATGCTAGTGAAACCCCTGCATGTGTATTTCAATGTAATTTATCATTGCTATAATCAGTAAAGGTGCTAAGTCAAGAGTTTTCTAAGTCACATAAATAAATATTCCCATGGATTTCATCTTTTTTCTAGATTGTGCCAAGACTGCACTGTATAATGATCTAATCAAAACTTATGACAAGAACCCCTCTGCAACAGAACTTTGTGTAATAAGATATGTTCAAACTCTATAGCCTAACTATGTATGTCCTTATTCTCTACCAACAAAGAGATCATATTCCTGTTTTGTTTTAAAATATGTTTTTCATGAATATGTTGTGCCATTGTTGTTTAAAATACAACTTTCTAGATACAGGGTGTCAAATAAGTCCCGTCCCCCCTCTACAGCCAAAACCAAGATATTTGGTACCAAGTGTGATATATCATTGGAAAGGTCTTCCAAAGTTACGTTGATTGGCATATATCTGACACATGTCAATCAATCTCACAAATTTTTACATTGTATCAATTGAGGTGACCATATGCCTAGAAACATGGCAATTTGGCATATTTGGCAGGATTTTAAGAATCGGGTATAAGGAAGGTCAAGGGACCAAAAGATGACTAAATATGTTTGTGGCGATGAATTTAACCAATTTCTGGATAGGGTTAGATGTGTAGAAAATAGAGGTACAAGGAAAGTGGTGAAAACAGTTTTGTAACAAGTGGAATGCGAAAAAGATTAACTTTTTGACGTATTTCTGAGGTCATATCCTTGTCATTTTGACGCAAAAAAGCTACTCAAAGGAGGGCATGTTAATTATAAAAGACATCATAAAAATATAGGTAAATTTCATCCAAAATACTTGAGAGTTGGTGAGTTAACATAACTTTGGATGATCTTTCCAATGGTATATCACACTAGGTACCGTCTGTTAAGGTTTTAGCTGTAGCAGGGGGGACGGGACTTATTTGACACCCTGTATATGTAAAAACCCTAACCTAAAGCTGAACCTCCCTCCCCTATCCTTATTTAAACTTCAAACAAAACACATCTATTCTCAATATCTCCTAGTCGATTAACTCCTTTAGAGCCTTTAGAATCTTAATAACATTTTAAATAGAATATCTCTTGGCCTTAAAAACAAAGTAATAGAGGAGAGAAAAAACAGTCTTACCTCTTAGTGAAAGAGTTTCTCATAAAAGTTAATATCTGTGTGAAAACGGTAAAAAAACAGGAGATCAGTTGTACTGTAAATCATTTATTTTTGTTTTATTTTTGTTTTGTTTTATTTTTGTTTTATCATCTCGACCTGAAGCTTCGTTTATACATTTTGACTGTTATTTGGCGCAATCTGAGCATTTTTAATGACTTTAAATAAAAAAAATTCTGTTTAAAAACAGCAATCTCATAAAATAAATTTACCCCTCCCCCCTCCCTCTTCTGACGCCCATGTTCTAATTGCCTCAACTACATTTAAGAACATGTGAACTTTAAAAATGACATGTCATCTTATGACATTTGAATAAAATGTTCAAGAACAAATTAACATGTTATACAGTTGCTGTGACAAGATCAACAGAGTCATGAGGCTGCATTATGAAAAGTTAAACATGCGTGTGTGTTTTAACATATTTCTTTTTATGAGTTTCTTTTAAGTATTAGCTTGTGTGCAAATCACTTAAATGGATGACATTCTGTTAAAATACCCTTAAAATGTAAAAATGACACAAAATCCATATTGTGTTTTTTTTCAAAAAGACTCATAATTCATTGTCATTTTAACATTAAAATTTGTTTATTTTCACATGAAATCATTTATGTTTTTAATTTATATAACGAAATGTAAAATTTACCTTTTTAAGTCATGTCATCATGTGACATGACTGAACACCAGTATACAAAGAAACCTCTCCAAAACATTGAAACATAAATTATCAAAAAGCTAGTAATCTTACCCTAAATTCTAATTTTCTTATGACTTAGTCCAGTTTTCATATATCAGAATTTTCCAACAGGATGTAAAACCAACTGTGTGTGTTTTGAAGCTAGTACATGTAAAGTTGCTATAATTTTCTGGCCAATTTCCGCATTAACATGCTTTCTCTAGACCCCCTTCAGTGATTAAAACACGAGTGGAAATACAATATTTTAAATTGACAGATGGATTTGTTTGAAATAAAAATAATAGTGACCTAATATTTGTGTTTTATGTATTACTATTTAGTAAATGCTTAACTTGGCGTGTATATTGAAATGTTGAAATTTATTAAAGTTGTTGAAATAAGAACATAGAAGTAAATACTAGATGTCAAGATGTGCTGATGTTAGTCACACACTGGATTTAGTGTTTTTATAAAAATGTATTTAGTACAGTAAACCCCAATACAATCATTGTACATATAGATGCTTCTTTATTCAGAACCAAGCATGTTCACTTCGCAAAGTTTTCATTGTAATTTAGAGTTATATTTTTCCAATTTTATGGCAAAACTATTTTAAACCTAGTCATATGTTTATTGGTATGATTGACATCTGTGGGTGTTCGTGTTTGGAGGCCATTGGAAATGATATGTGTTCCAAAACAAAGGTTCTCATTACAAAAACACATAATTGTTTTAATATATTCAAGGTCTGAGCAATCACATATATAACCTATAAAGCCTCAGTCACATTTGCTCTTCAGTGATTGTAAGGCAGCCATAGCTTCACAAAATTGATATAGAAAATTGAAATTCTACTACTTATCTCTATATATTTTATGCTACATATTTCTCTTGATTTTGGGAAGCTAGGCCACCGCACATTTGCAGTAGATCAAATGTGTCCGAGGCATCATGAATATTTCCACAGATATTATGGATTAAAAAAATTAGGAATAGTTTAGGACTTTGTATGTACACATAGTTTGTATAAGATTAACAGCAAAATCATAATAAATTGTTGCCAAATTCTTACCTGTGTGCAATTCCACCTTTAACAACTTTCACGACAAATATCCCGATGTCGCCACGTTTACATCCCCGTCCTCCCGCGATCTTTAACCCCAAACTGCTGCTGCCCTCTTTCTGCAGCGTCACTGTTGTAATCTTCTGCGGGATCTAAAATACATCACCAGCAAAATTAATGAATTTCAAAATCTAAAAGACGCAAACGTGAAATGACGATTTCTATTTATCACTGATACATAGCAGCATGTGGTATAATCCTAGTAATCTCTAGTCACCTGAAATGTTAAAGTCAAGTTGTTAAAAGGTTACAAGGTATAGTTGGATATTTATTCTACAAATCTGAGAATAATGTATTGAAGCACATGACACTTCAAGATTATTAAGTCTTAATAAATTCAATACATTTTGTATTGAATATGAATACCATTGTGGACACTATGAAAATACTACAGGATATCATTTGTAAAACATTGACAAACATTGCATAATGCACAAATAGTAGTCATGATATTTGCCAATTGCCAGTCAAGGTTAATTGTTGAGAAAGTTTGACCAATTTCAAGTAAATTGTGATTGGCCGACACTCATACAAATGCAGGTGAAAGTGTTCTAGTTGGTACTGGCATAGGACCAACCTTGCATGGTCAATGGCCTGACTATTCAACTTTCATTCATCTGCACTTGAAGCCAAGTGTATGTTTCAAGCTGGACATATAAAAAGTCAATATGATTTTGACTGCCATCTTTAAAACATTGAATAATTTATAGATACACTGTAAAAGATGTTCAGATGACACCATTTGTGGCAACATTTGATCAATATTAGCAGGACTCATCCGCAAGTTTCTTTCTCTCACATGGAGAAGAATCTTGGGAATGTACACCTTGATGTGAAGAATGAAAATGAACTAACCTCCAGACCATCGAAGTTAGAGCTAGAGAAAGACTCCACACTCTTCTGTGAGAAAACAGTATCTGCCGATTCCACGGAACCTTTTCTAGTGCCCCCCTCTGGTCTCGAATTTGTATCACTCTCGGGAATGGCATATTTCGCGATTCTAGCATCTTTCTTTTTGGCAGCATTACGTCGACCAAAAAACAACCGAGGGGTCCTCGGTGAACCTTTTGGCTTTTCCTGATCAGGGGGACGACGTGGTGAGTTACCAGGTGAGTTTGTGGGGGTTTTATTTCGCAGACCATGAAACAATCCAAGTTTGGGGATCTTTGATGCTTTTTTCTCTTCCATCCTAAATAATAATCCAGGAGATCAACCTATTTTAATTAAATCCAATATTATCTAATCCACACATACTTTAATCCATTATGAGTTGTTTATGTACATAAACTTGCAATATCCTTACATGTACTGAAGTTAGTGTTCATAATATATTTTCATCAAGTGAATCCACACATTGTTTACATGACCCTAAGGGATTAACTTTTAAGGCCATCACTGAACAGATATAATCCTCAATATATTTGTAGGTAGATAAGTTATGTTGTTATATTCCAGTAACACCTCTAAATGTCAATCCAATCCAACCATATAACACCAGTTTAAATGCATTTATTGAATGCAACTTTGTAAAGTTGAACTTTTTAACTCCAATCGTGCAGAAATCTTTTCTATATGTCATGCCAACTTTTTTTAAACTTGAACTCAAACATCAAAACTTCCAGAAAAAGTGATCCAGCAGAGTCCAGTAGATACAGCTCCTAGGATACCACTTAATGTTGTAGATATGACGCTATGTTTGTAGATATTATGTGAACTTGCGGAGATATGACGGGAACTTATAGTAACGATGTCATCATAAGAGACCAAGAGAGGCAGCAGACCTTACTAAAGATCCTGCTCAAAACAGGAGTGTCAGTAGGACAAGATCACAAATCATACTACAAGATGCACCTGTCAGGATTTTTCCATCTGTCTGCAGACTTAAATTTTAGTCACATTTCCCCAACAGCAGATTGTACTAGTTCTAGCTTGAATATTGTACAGTTCTGGCATCACTTCTACATGTAAGGGCCCTGTTTTGGTATTGGATGAATTATATTCATGCTATACCTATGTTAACAACAACAAATATAGATAAGTTCAATGGTTTGATAGGTCCAAGTACTCTTTTGTTTATCTTGCATCTTTATACTTGTCTATGTTGTAACAGAACAGAGATAAATGTGAACTCTGTGTGCGAGTGCTGTATCTCTCTGCGTGTGTTCATAAGGTCATCATATGTTTTTTCATAAGTTGTACTACTTGTATCCTGTTATCATGTTGTAGTGGCAGGTACATCACATTGTTGGATCACATTGTTATTGTATGATTGTATTATCACATCATATTATGCTTTAGCAGGTAACTCTGAAAGTACAAAATCAGTTGCATTATTTCATTGGCTTTCAACAGAAATGATTATTTCTAACATCTTAGTAATGTTTTGTTACATGTATTCACCTGATAAGTTAAATGTGTTAGGTGCTATTTACGGGGGCTTTTTAGTGATAATTATGTCAAATTTTATTTGGATGATAGAAAAAACTGTCAAGATTCTAAAATATATATGTATTCAATCTTTTAATGAGAAGAGAAAAGTTAGAAAAATAGAAAAAAATTATCTCCCAACACGAAACAAACATTATATATCTATAAAAGATGTCCTTCTGCATATATCCTATGTCCTTTATATTCCAGATAAATCCTGATAATTTCCATATCTTTCCTCAAAGTCAGGAACCATGCCATAAGAGATGTTCTATCTTTCTATCATGGTACACCTGTGGCCTCTGACTACTTCAAAACATACTATCTGTGATTAAAACCAACTTTAAAGAATTCCAAGAATCTCTGAAAAAGTAGACTAATGAAGACAAAGAGCTCAACAGCTTAATGCTCTCAGGTAATGCTTTACCTTGATCTGTTTTCCTTGTTTATCATTTAAACAATCAACTGGCAAAATACCAGCTATTTTTCCATTACTCACACCGCATCTTAAATATTACATGCTAATTCTTCACGATTAAATATGCATTTATAATTACACAAAGACAAACTTGTCATTTTTATTCAATAAGTTTGCATATCTAATGAGAATTAAGAATAAATAATTCAGTACAATATGTTGTCTGATTTATTACTGTTAACTATTACAAAAACTGTGTGTTTCTGTCATTGTGAAAAAATGAATGTGTAAAAATATCAAGTGATAATAAATTAATGATTTCTAACTTTTAAATACATGTAGTTTAAACTTTTTTTAAATGGCAACACTATGAGGAAAAGATATTGAAATCTATCAGAAAGTAGACAAAAAAGATAATCAAAATTTCTTTCCTCATTTTGAGTGAAATTAAGCATGCTAAAAATATTACTTTAGAACAAAGGCCTAGTTTCAGACCAATCTCCACTGCTTAGTGTAGCTCTGTCACAAAAAAGAAGTTTCTCTCCTGCCTTGCATGACAAACTATGTTTTATTAATGAGACAACCCAGGCTCTCCAGCTGGTGTAACAATATACCTCAAAGTCAAGAAATTGAGAAGGTTCTTATTGCATCACACACAGGTTCTCTACTTGTTTTTAGTGTATAACTAATTATTCTTGTATGTTTGATGAAAATACAGCTGGTATCATATGTTAGACAAACTATTCTGTCCTGTCTAGTAGAGAATATTGTCCTAGAGCATTGTGAGTATAATTGTGTACCAGTAATCTTTCCGGAAGTTCAGTAATTAGCATGTAGAACTTTCTAAATAGTAAGATTTACGGCAATGAAGATCAATTCAAATCTAATGCTCACTGTAATGTCCTAGATGTTTGTTTGTTTGTTTGTTCATTTGTTTGTTTGTTTTTTGTGTGTTTGTTTGTTTTTTAACATATATCCTACCATTTCCTGAATGAGACTCTATGGCATCCCTTTAAGCAAATATAATATGAATTCTTTCAAAAATGTTTCAGTACATGTATGTTAAACTATTATCTGAGTTATACATGTATCTTTATTCAACCAGGATCCTACACTTCAAATGGCATATACTTTAAAATATTCAATTGAAATAAAAATTGTTTAGTTTGAGGCAATATTTACGACTAATCATACTTTATTTGACAGGAAAATTGCCTTTCACATAAATAATTTCTTTCTCATGTTTTCTTATAGGGATAAAGGAATTTTTCAGATAAGCCTTAATTAAGCTGTTTCCTCCTGTTCATCCTGCAATCGTTTTGATGAGTTTAAATGATGAAACATATATTCCTGCACCCGTTTTCACGTGTTGAGCACTTGTCAACATTACCATTTACTTATTATTGAGGGATTTAACAGGGGTCCACAAAAATTAAAAAATATTAGATTTTGATATTTTTGAAGTTTACAACGGATTATCTACTTATGAATCGGATTTTGGGAAGGTTATTAGCATGACATATTGATTTTATCTGTTTAATTGAAAATAAGATCGTCTGTCTGATTATATTTTGCATTCAAAATGATTAAAAATAATTGTTCCATCAAGTCCACTTTCTTTTAACATCATCTTGTTTTTTGTTGATCCGCTAATTGTTTTGATATCTTTAAATGATAAAACATATATTCCTACATACGTTTTCATATGTTGAGCACTTGTCAACATTACCATTTACTTATTATTGAGGGGTTTGACAGGGGTCCACAAAAATAAAAAATATTAGATTTTGATATTTTTGAAGTTTACAACGGATTATCTACTTATGAATCGGTTTTTGGAAAGCTTATTAGCATGACCTATTGGTTTTATCTGTTTAATTGAAAATAAGATCGTCTGTCTGATTATATTTTACATTCAAAATGATTAAAAATAATAGTTCCATTTAGTACACTTTCTTTTAACATCATCTTGTTTCTTGTTGATCCGCAAATTGTTTTGATATGTTTAAATGATAAAACATATAATACTACATACATTTTCACCTGTTGAGGACCTGTCAACATTACCGTTTACTTACTATTGAGGGGTTTAACAGGGGTCAACAAAAATATTAGATTTTGATATTTTTGAAGTTTACAACAGATTATCTACTCATTAATCGGCTTTTGGAACGTTTATTATCCCAACGAAGGGATAGGGATATAGTGAAGCCCTCCGTCCGTCAGTCCTTCAGTCAGTCAGTCAGTCAGTCAGTTGGTCCATCCGTCCGTCTGTCCGGAAGATAACTTGAATACTAGTAGACAGATTTTCTTCATATTTGGTGGAAAGATGTATATTGGTGAATAGTTATACGCAAAAAGAAATTTCAAGATGGCCGCCAGTTTAAAAATGGCGGGAATTTTAACACAAAACACAAATTGCATTTATTTTGAGATGTTTTTGAAGTATAGCTCTTAAAAGTATGGCTATATTATACTCAAATTGAAGGAATTTCAGAGTAGATCACAATTATGGCAGTGTTTTTCGGATTTATGCCTCTGAAAATTCAAAATATCCGACTAGAGCAGAAATTCGCCATTACTGAGAGTCATCTTTAAAGTATGGTTACAATGATCTAAAATATTTATTGAAGGAAAGAGTAGGTGGTAAATATTACATTGTGACTGTACAGATTGATGATTTATATAGTGTTCATTGGGATTTTCTAATTAGTATGACGTATTGATCTTATCAATTAATTGAAAATAGAATCGTCTGTCTGATTATATTGTGCATTCAAAATGATTAAAAACAATGATTCCATTTACAGTTCATTTTCTTTTAACATCATCTTGTTTTTTGTTGATCTGCCAATTGTTTTGATGTTTAAATGATAAAACATAAATTCCTATATACATTTTCACTTGTTGAGGACCTGTCAACATTACCGTTTCCTTATTATTGAGGGGTTAAACAGGGGTCAACAAAAATATTAGATTTTGATATTTTTGAAGTTTACAACAGATTATCTACTCATTTATCGTCTTTTGGAAAGTTTATTAGTATGACATATTGATTTTATCTGTTTAATTGAAACTAAGATCGTCTGTCTGACTATATTTTGCATTCAAAATGATAAAAATAATGGTTCCATTTAGTTAATTTTATTTTAACATCATCTTGTTTTTCGTTGATCTGCCAATTGTTTATTATCCCAACGAAGGGATAGGGATATAGTGAAGCCCTCCCTCTGTCAGTCCTTCAGTCAGTCAGTCAGTCAGTCAGTCAGTCAGTTAGTCCATCCGTCCGTCTGTCCGGAAGATAACTTGAATACTAGTAGACAGATTTTCTTCATATTTGGTGGAAAGATGTATATTGGTGAATAGTTATACGCAAAAAAAATTTCAAGATGGCCGCCAGTTTAAAAATGGCGGGAATTTTAACACAAAACACAAATTGCATTTATTTTGAGATGTTTTTGAAGTATAGCTCTTAAAAGTATGGCTATATTATACTCAAATTGAAGGAATTTCAGAGTAGATCACAATTATGGCGGTGTTTTTCGGATTTGTGCCTCTGAAAATTCAAAATATCTGACTAGAGCAGAAATTCGCCATTACTGAGAGTCATCTTTAAAGTATGGTTACAATGATCTAAAATATTTATTGAAGGAAAGAGTAGGTGGTAAATATTACATTGTGACTGTACAGATTGATGATTTATATAGTGTTCATTGGGATTTTCTAATTAGTATGACGTATTGATCTTATCAATTAATTGAAAATAAAATCGTCTGTCTGATTATATTGTGCATTCAAAATGATTAAAAACAATGATTCCATTTACAGTTCATTTTCTTTTAACATCATCTTGTTTTTTGTTGATCTGCCAATTGTTTTGATGTTTAAATGATAAAACATAAATTCCTATATACATTTTCACTTGTTGAGGACCTGTCAACATTACCGTTTCCTTATTATTGAGGGGTTTAACAGGGGTCAACAAAAATATTAGATTTTGATATTTTTGAAGTTTACAACAGATTATCTACTCATTTATCGTCTTTTGGAAAGTTTATTAGTATGACATATTGATTTTATCTGTTTAATTGAAACTAAGATCGTCTGTCTGACTATATTTTGCATTCAAAATGATAAAAATAATGGTCCCATTTAGTTAATTTTATTTTAACATCATCTTGTTTTTCGTTGATCCGCCAATTGTTAAATGATATGTTTAAATGATAAAACATATATTCCTACATACGTTTTCATCCGTTGAGGACCTGTCAACATTATCGTTTACTTATCATTGAGGGGATTAACAGAGGTCCATAATAATGAAAAATATTAGATATTGACACTTTTGAAGTTAACAACGAATTTTCTACTTATGAATTGGCTTTTGCATTAGATGAATTAAGAATTTATTCCCGCTATTTATAAAATTAGATTTTAACATCAATAAAGCATATGGTATGATGTGGGGTGAAAGGATATATGATTTTTGCGATACAGGCTATCTCTGCAAGCACATAACTTTAGTAATAGATTATTTTATGTAGTAGAAAATAGACAATCCCATGAGGCAATGCTAGAACCCAAACGCTCTATATTGAAATTAATAAATACCGCCTCGCCCAATATTTTTTCTCGAATAGGTATTCTGCCATATCAAGCTTCTGATTATCCAGTATTTGTTTAATATTGCCCGCAGAAATTAGGTTATTAGTATTACCACAGTTAATGCCCAGGGCTGAAGTAGCAAAAATTATATGCATTGAAAGATATGCCCGCCACTATGGCCCGCCACTATGACGTCACATATTGCTCAGATCGATAAAGTAACATAAATGCCTTCTAAACTAGCACTAATACCCCTATAACATTCCCGGAAATGTGGTAATAATAGTAATTGATCTGAGAACTATCCACAAAAATATTCATCTTTTTGAATTAGACTTGAATTAAATCTTCTATAAATGAAAATCTGAACCATTTTAAGATATTCGAAAAATTCAGAAACTGCAAATAATTCAATTATAACTATTTAAACCAATTTAAATTGCTAGGATATGATAATAACCTTAAAAAGTAAACATTTGATTAGTTATACCAATCATTGTGATTTTAGAGCCCAAATGTTATCTCGTTTTACAGTTTCAATTTTATAAATCTTCTTGCTGTCAACGTATTTAAAATAGTCTACACTTATTTAGTGCCTGTTTATAATGATACCGACATTATTGTAATATTGAAATCATATAAGTAATAAAGATCCCCAAGTGGAGGTCAATGTGAGCCCCCCCCCATTTGTGACATGGCGTTATACGAATTAGGTTGTAGACATCAGTATGAAACCTGTTTTCATGATTTATACACCTTAATGATGTAATTTAATCGTAACAATGTACTAGCTTTCCATCTAAGAACTATCCGGAAAAATATTTAATTTTCATAAAATAGACCCCTGCTGAAATCGTTCATAAATGAAGTTTTGTAACCTTGTATGGTGCACAAAAATTCATGAATGGTCAATGATATAATCCTTACTAACAAAAGCAAATTAAAAACATAAGGCTGTAACAATAAGCTTTAAAAAATTATACAGTGTTTGATGAGTTATACCCCCCACTGTGAACTTGGATTCCATTTCGATCTAACTTTTCAGTTGAAATTTTACATTATGCTCTTGATATATAATAATTCATACTTTTTGTACTTATTTATTATCTATTTACAAGAAATCATTTAAAATGATTATTTCTTTAAAAAATGGACCCTGCTTAAATCTCAGATAAATGATAAATGGTAATGTTGTGTGGTTCTCAACAAGCAATACCATATTCAGTGATATCAAATCTATCAATATAATCTATAAAAATGATTGCAACTTGAACAGGAGGTAATTTTAAAATTATTGTCAATTCCTTTAACACTATTATAAGCTAAATCAATGGACAATGGCTCACCAGAGACCACCATAGAAAGTCCTGGTACCATGATTGACATATACAAATTTTTTCTAAAATGTATCTTATCTATCACCATAGCAACAAAAAACATTACAAACTAATATGTTAAACATCTTGACCCTTGGTTGTTTTGCTATCTTGTACAAGTACTAACCTAAATGTCAATGAACACTCTTGCCCTACAACTGGGTTCTACTGCCATACATCTCAGTATTTCAGCAAAACATAAACAGGAAGCTATATAATCAACAACTTTACACATTTATTTCTTTTCAGATCGTTGTGTTGCCTGGAAGGTCATGAGTATCAGAATCAGAAACTGGAAGTTCACCTTCATCAAAAACATAAATCAATTGGCAAATTGATTTGGCAAACATTTTGGCAAACTGGCAAAAACCAATGTATGTGTAACTGGTTTAAAGATGAATAAAATTAGAATTTTCTATTACATCTTTTACTGACATGATATTGATTATTTTATGTTTTACATAAGTGAGTGCTGATTCTTTTTACATTTGTTTGTTTGTTTATTTGTTAATGAACTGTCTACAATATATGAAGTCTGTTGCAACACTCTCCAAAATATTTTGATTTAATACAAGTACTTTTAAATCTTCTATACATCAGATGGAATAAGAAGTAACATTACAAGAACCAAAATACCGAAAAACCATACAAAATTTACCTTTGAAATATCTACTTCATATCTACATCCGGAATCAGATTTATGATTATAAATAATTTAACAGTCCTACATTCTTGCCTTAAAAGGCTCAAATCCTAGAAAACCTAATAAAATCCTAAGTAGCCAATCTATTGTACAATCAAAAGATTTTAAGTCCAATGAATACATGTTGCACTAACATTCTCAAGGTGTTTTGAAACATGAATGCCAACATCCCCTTAATGTATTGGCGGTTCAATAGAAATGTTGACAGATTTGATAAATCCTTTATGGGCTTAAGTTACTGGATGTGTTACAACCAAATTCCAGCCATTTTTGCTCATTTTTTATGTTTGTATATCGTTGATACAAATAAGGTCATAAAAGGTTAAATAAATTATTCTGTGTTTTTCAGATCAAAATTTCAATGTTTTTTCCATAATGTATTAAAAAATATTGAATATGAATGGAATGGATTTTTAACTTCAAGTTTTATGAAATAATATTCATACATGTATATATATTTATATTAATTTTGGTGCGTAAAACATTTCAAACAATATTTTCATCCTTCACCTCAAAACACTTGCTCCATCAATAGACTTTGATGCACAAAAGGTTTGTTTCAAATTCTATTGATAGTGCGGTACTTAAAATATTAGAGAATTTTAGACCCCGGAATAGGCACTTAGGGGCACTTTAACTTGATCACAATAAGTAAAGGTAGTGTTTAACATTTCATCCATTGAGCTTTATATTGAGGCAAACGGCCTCACTTTAATTCACTTACACGCTTTTGTCACACTTTAAAAGTTTAAAAATTACACTTTAAAAATAATTTTGAAAATAACCCTGCATATTTGAAGCAAAATTTGGCAATTTATATGAAATATTAAGAATCCTGTTTGTAATAGAAAATACCTACCTGGGAAACAACCTGACACTATAAATAATTTTCAAGTTCAGGTAGAGTTTTCTTAATAAATACTTATATTATATGCAGTACCTTAATGTTGATCAGACTGATTTACATTCCAGTTCTCAACAAATAGCACCCTTCACAAGATTTCAAGTTTACCAAACTCTTTAAATTCAAGATATTTCTTTGATCTAGCCATTTTCAAATCAAATTTTCTCAATATACTAAATAATTACTGCAATATCCTTTTAACTGGTCATTAACATTCTTTTAAAATATAATCTCCCATAAAAAATGTTCTTGGTGTCAGAACTTCAAAAATTTGGTTCTGAATAGGCAATATATATCTTATTTGATGTTGATAGGATCCCAGCAAGACAAGAAGCAGACGAAGCTCTCTTTTGAAGAAACAAAACCAAACTGATAGAAAAAGCAATTTAAAGGTATATTTTAGATTTTGATTCTTTAGATTTTATCAGCATCAAAACTGTAGAATCCTCTGTCATAATCAGAGGTATTGTGGCTAGCAATTCTTACCCAGGGTGAATAACTATGTATTATTATAGAGGCACTTCTACAGCCAATGCTTGAGGATTTCATTATAAACTGATTTACTTGAATATGGCACCACTCAGAAATGTCAAAATATTGAAAATAACTGACCTTCGATTGTTTGAATGTCAATATTAGAGTTTGGCATTACATGCACAGTTATTGAAACCATCATATTTGAATTCATGTGTAAGCAAATGTGATGGCATATCCTTATATACTATCTAACATGCCTATAACTGCATCCCAGAATAAACAAACTGATCACAATATAGCACCCATGGGTGCAAGAAAAATCATAACTGATTAAACACAGATTCGAGAGTTTTTTCAAGAGTTTGAACCAAATAAAGCCCCATCTTCATATTGTCTGCCCTAACTAGAGTCTAGAATTACTACTAACTTTGGGGTCATTAAAAATAACAAAAATAACAAGTATAAAATAAAGTGAATAAAAACACATGGAACTAAATGGCTTTTCTATATACATATAACTTACTCATTCAGGCATTATTTATTGTAAAAAATGGTGTGCATACAAACGTTATTCATATTTAAATATAAACTAATTGTATTGCACTTCCTCTCCTAAAGATAAGTGGAAAGCTGCATGAATGAATGGTAAATAACATCTCTATTACCTTTAAATGTTTTAAAATTGTCATATATTTAAGGAATAAAGACCGAGATTTTATGATAATGGCGTGATATATGACCAAAAATTTTATTCTGTTCATTGTTAAAAGACCAAAATCGTGTAGCGATTGAGGTCTTTGGCAAGGGCCAGAATAAAATTTGAGGTCATATATTTGACATAAATCATAAAATCGAGGTCTTTGTTACGATTCTAATATGATAAACAGACGAGAAACACGACTATTTGCATTAATGAATTTTATCAGTCATACATACTCCAATATAGACCAGAAAATCAATTGTTCTAGCTAGTGTGACGTCACATATCATATTAAAATATATAAATCTTAGCTTACCTTCACCCGGGGAGTTTATGAGGCAGTACAATTATTTAGCATCCACTTGATGTATGTATCTATCTCCTCAGTGATGTGACCTCCTTCCTAAACATCCAAAATATGAGAGATGTAATTATTTAAAACTTGAATTAAATGAAAAAAGCTTGATTAAATATCTAATTTGTTTCGTGGTTTCCTCATTATCAAGGAAAATGTATAACTTCATTGAAATCAAAGTTGACAAAGCATGAGTCAATTCAAGTACAGATTATCCTTAAATAGGGCTTATGCTTCCTGACTGAGTTAAATGCTTAGCAGGATTTCCAGAATCTACCCGGCTTTTTCTTTCTCTCTCAGCTTGAGGCAGTGTTCTTTGATTGCATTCTCATTCTGACACTAGACACCCTACCTTTACATGTTAATCCATATGGCCCATTAGTTAAGTTGTAATTCATCCCATGTTTGGAAAGTTCATAAATCTCAGAAATTCCCACTAGAGGTATAAGAGCTCATATACCTTGTTAAAAATAAAATATCTGACATAAACCAATTTACTGTTGAGTACCATACCTTGGAACAATTCACAACTCCTTCACTAAAATCGAAAACATTTGAAACCAATATCAATAGCATCTATGATGACATCATCAAAGAAAAAGACCATAAAAAGACAAGAATATTTATAAAGCGTGATGAAAACAAAATATGAACCTCAAGTTCTTAGCATCATCCTCAGCAATAATGTTTCTATTGCCTATAGCCCTTACACAAAAAACATTCAGATTATAATGCCCAGGAATTGCAAGGGAAAGATAAGTGCACTTATGTTCAAAGTGATATGATTAAACAGTGCTGTGCTTTTTGGTAGTCCAGCAAAGCTATATTTGTAATGTTGACCTTGCTGGCCTTAGTGTAGATCATTCATCCTTTATTACCACTCCACTTATCAACTATAGCACTGGTTAAAAACAGAACTTCATTAAGAGAACCCAGATATCTAATATGGTGCAAAGCTTGTATCGCTCATGTAAAAACTTTCAAGCTTGGACACATTATCTATTTTGAACATTCCCTAATTTGAACATATTTCTAATGTGAACATTCCCTAACATTTATAATGTGAACATTCCCTAACTTGAACATATTTCTAATGTGAACATTCCCTAACTTGAACATATTTCTAATGTGAACATTCCCTAACATATTTCTAATGTGAACATTTCCCATTTGGACATATTTCTAATGTTAACATTCCCAACACATTTCTAATGTGAACATTCTCTAACTTGAACATATTTCTAATGTGAACATTCCCTAACATATTTATAATGTGAACATTCCCTAACTTGAACATATTGCTAATGTGAACATTCCCTAACATATTTATAATGTGAACATTCCCTAACTTGAACATATTGCTAATGTGAACATTCCCTAACATATTTTTAATGTGAACATTCCCTAACACATTTCTTATATGAACATTCCCTAACTTGAACACATTTTTAATGTGAACATTCCCTAACTTGAACATATTTCTAATGTGAACATTCCCTAACACATTTCTAATATGAACATTCTCTAACTTGAATATATTTCTAATATGAACATTCCCTAACTTGAACATATTTCTGATGTGAACATTCCCTTACTTGAACATATTTCTAATGTGAACATTCCCTAATAAAGGTCCATGTGCAGCATGGCAAGTGATTTTAGATGGTCATATCTTTCACCATGGGTACTTTCTGGCCATCAATGCAGCAGTTTTTATTAAAGCAATATGTTTTCTTTCAAGTGAAGTTCCAATGACAGTAAAATATTCATCCAACTCTCTAAAAAATTATGAATTAGGACCCCACCTTGGCCCTTTTTTAAAAATGCTAGGCTTATTTTCTAAAAAGAGGATCTTGTTTTTTTCAATTTAAACATATCGAAATTTTCTTCTACACTATATTAACAATTTCTGAAAAGTTGTCACATTGGTCAAATCGATAGACAGATGGCCATTTCAGAATTTTCTAAAAAGAATGCTCCAAATAATATTATTTTGGTAGTGGTCCGAGGCTGAACCCTCAGATATCAATATGTTCCCACACCAATCTGTCAAATTTCAATGTGTTCCCAAACCAACCAAAATAACACCCAAAAGCCATACCAAATGTCCAAATATAGGACAAATGTCATACCAATTGGTCAAGATATAAGACCAATGCCATACCAAATGTTTTAATATAGGACCAATGCCATACCAAGCGTCCAAAGTAGAAAAAAGCTAATATTCAAAGTGAAGAAGGCCTTGAGAAGGCAAATGTTAAAAAAGATCCAAAATAGCCTCAAATTAGGATATGTGTAACTATAAGACCAATACCATACCACAATTGGGATGTAACATATTTTCCATGACCATTCTCATACCAGAAAGTGAAAAAACGGACCATTCCCATACCTCGAAAGTCATTATTTGGTGGGGTTTGTGTAAAAAACTGGGTGACAGGGTAGCTGGATGGCCAGGTAACCAGGTACTTAACTTTCCTTGCAGGAGTACCAACTTTCAAAGTTGCACATTTGTAGACTACCCTTCAATGTTTTACCAAGAACCTGTAAGAGACTGAATTTTGGAAGTCCTAAGTAGTAATTTACAAAGTTTGAGTGAATTGACAGGATATCGATGATTGTTTTCTATGATGGCGATTTCTACTACATTATAGATATTAAACAAATCTGGAAGATATTTGCCGTTTTTATCAGTAATTAGTGTACGATGTACAATGCAACGTTAGTTGCTTGATTTATTGCCTGACTGATTGACATTATGTTAATTTTTTTTGTCATTTTGCCGGTTGATTTATTGGTAAATAAATTTTGTTGCTTGTTTGGTTGTTTGCTTGATTGGTTGTGTCACTGGTACGTTGATTGGGATGTCAGTTGGGCGTTTTGAGGCATAAAATGAAAAAATCAAATTACTACCCCCGTAGGAAGGTAGGGTACCCGGTCACCCGGTTTTTTACACAAACCCTTATTTAGTGGGCATTATACCATCAGATCCAAAATTTGGGTCCATTGCCATACCAAATGTCAAAAAGGTACCCCATGTGCGCAGAGGATCTCCGTCAAGGTTTACATGCAATGAACCATCGGGGAAAGTGGTAAGCAAGAGAAGCTCTCCCTCCTCATTAATTATTTCTGCACTCTAGCCTAATTTTTGAAAGAGTGATCTATAAATTTGGCTAAATGTAAGTTACTTACATGAGAGCTTTTACTAGATGTCCTCATTTATACTGACCTTTACTTGGTTGTACTCATCTCTAATTATGAGTCCCTACATTAGATAGCTATGTTAGTAACACTGTATACGAACTTCAAACTTCAAGAAACTTTTAAACTTTTTGTCAAACATTGGTGTACTCCAAAGCAATCCAAGTCGACAATTTTGATTGGATACAAAATATGATCCAATTAACATTAAGCCAATCAGTAAGCGTCTTACAAATCTATAAGTCACATGACCTGTGTTTGCCAACATGGCGAAAGTTGTCCAAGGTAAAAATACATCTTTACACTTTTATGATATTATTGATACATTTAAACGTTGCAAATAGTATTGTATTACTGTTATGGCGAAATTATTTCTCTCAGATTATCACCAATGCAACCACTCGTGTCTCTTATCGACGAATCGAGTGACTTGAAACTCAAAATGTTATAATTTTTTGAGAAAAAACACTCAGATGCCCTGGAAAATTGTTACTTAGTTTGCACAAAGCTAGCTCCTGAGATATAGCTTTGCATATGTTGATATTCCCAGTCCTTTATAAAGGTCTTTTATAAAAATGTAAGAAATCTAGGAAACATTTACCCTACTTCAATCGCTGCATAACATTCTAAAGTATCATTTTTCTAACCATATCGGCACGGACGTCAAGTAAGTTTCTGGCGAAAGCCGGAGCATAGATTATTTAAGAGGACTGGAAACAAGAATGACCTACCTTTTTATTTCTCCGAATCTCGCCTGAAATTAGCTCATCTTGGTGACTGTAACCTGTACATGGGCCCATGATCTGTATTAATAGAGTTTCTTTGTATCGCATCTGCCTCAATTTTAAAGTTTTATTGGTATTTTTAATATGATTTCACTGTTTTTGTGGACTGGTACGATTGGGCCAAACAAATGGCAGCTGACCTGTTCAAAGTACTTTCAGTACTAATTATCGCAAATGATAATAATTTTGGAAACAATATTATACTAAATAGATTACTAAGCATCTAAGGTAAGTAAAACTAGATGAACAACTGAGTCAATAGTGATAAATAGGCCAACACGAGTTGGCAGATTTGAAATAGACTGCCATCTTGTTTCCAGTCCTCTTTATAATCTATGCTCCAGGTTTCGCCAGAAACTTACTTGACGTCCTTGCATATTGGGCTATCTTTAACTTTAACTTACTTAACTTGAATTATATATTTTTGTAATTTCAATGCTTCTAGGGATTGTAAGAAGCGAGATGGACACCTCTAAACTCTTTGAGAAGTTTACCATTGACGAGATTAGGGAAATTGAACATAAAACAAGATCTGATATTGAGCGTAAAAAGGAAGATTTGAGGACAATGGTTGGGTAAGATCATTTTTATTATTTCAACCAATCAGTACTTTAATTTACTGTGCATTATTATACAAATAACAATGAACATTTTTTTGTGCATTGTACTTAATTCAGATCAGCGTTTCAGTTTCCATTTTCAGCAATATGAATCCCATACTGTTAAAAGTAGTGTATTCAGTATTCAGCAGTGTTTCGCCTTGGTGCATTATGTAGATGGGTTAGTACATACACTCATGCTTTTATATTTCCAATATAGAATGATACCTGATTCTTTATTCCTTATTCCACCCCTTAGGTGGGCCCAAAAAAAGTTTTTTTCTCTGACCTGAAATTTGCCCCCCCCCCTTGTTGGTTCCCAGATCCGCCCCTGATCCAATACTGTTAAAGCAGTGTATTCCTTCAGTCGTATGTAAAACCTTGATGGATCAAGATGGAAGATCACTGCTTGGGATTTGTTCCACTATACAGAGTTTCAATGAACCTGAAATCAATGTACTTCTTACAGGGGTATACTGCTATAGTCATGATGGATCCAATTAATCTGTGTTGTGGTCTTTTAATGTTGAACAAACACATGTAATACCTTGATGGAACAAGATGTATGAATGCAGGCTTGAACCCAATGAAAGATACTTTGACATCATTCCTAGATCAATTCTCACCCATGTCAGCTTAGTACAAACTCAATCTATGCTTTGCTATTTTTATCGTACCTAACAAGAGGTACGATATTGTAGTCAGCTTGACGGGCGGCGGCGTCTCACTTTTCAGCTTGTCTACAGGTTTCCAGCCAAACCATTTGAGGGATTCATCTGAAATTTTCAGGGATGTTTTACATATCAACGTCAAGAACTGATTAGTTTTTGGGGATTCTGGGTAAATTTGAAGGTGGCCATTTTGGATTTTCCGTCCTAAAATCTTCACTTTCAAGACTTGTCTACAGGTTTTCAGCCAAACCATTTGAGGGATTCATCTGAAATTTTCAGGGATGTTTCTACATATCAACATCAAGAACTGATTAGTTTTTGGGCATTCTGGGTAAATTTTAAGGTGGCCATTTTGGATTTCCGTCCTAAAATCTTTATTTTCAAGACTTGTCTACAGGTTTCCAGCCAAACCTTTTGAGGGATTCATCTGAAATTTTCAGGGATGTTTCTACATATCAACCTCAAGAACTGATTAGTTTTTGGGCATTCTGGTTAAATTTTAAGGTGGCCATTTTGGATTTTCTGTCCTAAAATCTTCACTTTCAAGACTTGTCTACAGATTTTCAGCCAAACCATTTGAGGGATTCATCTGAAATTTTAAGGGATGTTTCTACATATCAACGTCAAGAACTGATTGGTTTTTGGGCATTCTGGGTAAATTTTAAGGTGGCCATTTTGGATTTTCCGTCCTAAAATCTTCACTTTCAAGACTTGTCTACAGGTTTCCAGCCAAACCGTTCAAATTTTTATTACATATGTTACACAGTGATAAGTTCTACAGCTGATTAACTTTTCTGCGGCCATCTTGCTTTCTTGGTCAACAAGACCACAATGCTGTGTTTTAGGTACGATATTGTTCACGTCTGTGCCTTGTTCTATACATATACCATATGTGTCTATGCATTATGTGGCTTTGATGAATCCTTCTTGTTCATAATGTTATTGTGTAAAATCCAAGTCAGCTTTAAAGTGATATATTATTTATCTGGCTTCTTCCTTATCAGTGAAATAGGACACATTGAAACGTGGAAACATTATTTGCTATCTCAAACTCACCTTTTTATGTATGCTTTCAGTGAGAAATACAGGGACCTTTAAATGATATTATAAGTTATTGAATGATTTGAAGTGCAATACAGGCCATATTCTGCTTGAGAAATTCCGTATTGGAACGAGACTAAGTCGAGTGCCTATACAGAATATCAAGACAGAATATATCCTGTATTGCATTTCAAATTATTCTGTATTGCTACTGAGATTGTCCCCTCCGTACCAATATTTTCTGTATTGCGACAGAGATGATCAACGGGGACAATCTCAGTTGCAATACAGATTTGTACAGCACAAAAACTGACCAATCAGAAGGCTTCATTTTACAGATCAACCGAATAATATTTATCTGGCACATCTATTATATCATACTCACTGTCCTATGTATGCTTTTTAGTGAGAGATACAGGGACCTGATTGAGGCGGCAGACACTATCAGTGAAATGAAAAATACAGTTAGTAAGGTAAGTTTGATTCTACCTTTAATCAACTGAAAAAATGAAACTCATATATCTTGTCTAATTGTGTATATACCAACATTGTAAGATTGTAAATCTAAATGGAACTGCAGTATTGGAATGCAAAAATTGAATACAAGGCATTAGTGTGAGCTCACCTAACGGCATTTTAATCCATAGCTGTCATTTTTAAAATCATGATTCTGTGTAGTTCAGGAATATTTCAAGATTTAGGTCATTTGCCTCTCTGATGTAATTTTGTGTTTCCTAAAGTTGCCTTATGTGCTTGTTCAATCCAGGTTACCCAGTCAGTTAACTCAATGCAGGGGTACTGTCAGAAACTCCAACACACCCATTTGATAAAAGGTGTCTCTGTAGGCCAACAGTCTTCAAGGGATATAGAAAAGTAAGTAACATGAAGAAAGTTATCTTAGAATTGTAAATGTTCTAATTTATATTATATTATATTATATTTAAGATATAATGCATTAATTTTATATTTGTTCAAAGTGTTTTATGTGGTAAAAGCTACGATTTCAATGCTGTAATCTGTACTATTAGTCACTCAATAAGCCTCAAGAAAGTGAGACAATTTTCTTTCTCACGCCTTTGTATTTACATTGCATGTACATGTATATGGTCATAAGGAATAAATCTCATATATTGGTTCTTTTGTTTCCAGAAAGAATGAAGAGCGGGAGTTTTTTGGTATTGCCACTCAGATCAAGCTTCTCCTAGATATGCCTGAGAAGGTCAGTATTTTGACACAAATTACACATTTCTTACAACTTTACAGTCATTTGGGGACCAGATCTATATTTTGATGTCCCCAAGATATTCAGATTGACTTATACCCTCCCCTGAATATAAATGTTTTTGATTCAAATTGATATCCCCTCATATCTGGCTGAATCTCTTGAAGAAGCATGATGGGATATTTCATCCTCTTGTACTGTACTGTGAATAGTACATTTGATCAATTGCATGATTATATATTAAGAATTTTCAAAGTGATGTTTTCCAAGTTCAAGTTTCAAGTCCCGCCAAAACTTTGCCTGTAGTCTCTCATTATCACTCCATCTTAGGCAGGTGTCGTGGTTCACCATCATTCTCAGTTTCTCTGACATTTCGGCTTTAGGAATGTGTTCCATGAGGAGCACAATGATCATGTCCCTGTGGTCATCTAGAACCTTATCTAGAGCCATATCTACCTGATGAGTTCAAAAGAAAATATTTAATTGAGTTATAATTAGGTCATTGATTTTGATTTAATGGACATTTTGCTAATTTATAGTAACTTGTAGGCTGCTGTTGTCTGTTTTGGAACAATCATAATGATTTAGTCAGCAGTCATTTATTTTTAATCAATGGACATTTTTCTAATTAACATCAATTTTGGTTGTCCAAAAATGAACGCCTAATTTGAAGAATCATGTGAAACATATTATAATCCTAAAAGATCAGGATACTCACCTCAAACTGGTTCATGGCATCAGCAACCCATCCACGACTCACCACAAATAGAATCTTCCTACAGCTATTGATTGCATTGCCGAGTGATGTAAAGATGGAGCCACCAGGCATGATCCTCTCATCATACATCAAAGTGAACTGAATATCATCTCCATTCTCCAACTCCCTACACAAGTCTCGTTCAACCCACAACCGTTTGTCACTATGGTAGCTGACAAAAGCATCATCTTGTATTTGAATGTCTTGTATTGGAACATATCCCTCCCGTTTTCTCGCTTTACGCACCATTTTTATATATCTTATGTCCCTCCAAAAATACTTCAGTAATCCAATTGTTAAGATTGCCAGGAGTATTATGATTGTTCCAGTTGCTGAACATGACGTATACAATGTTCTAGAGTTGCATTCCATCCAAGGTGTAGTATAATTATGTATGAGCTCATGTGTACGAGATTCTGGTGTTCTACACTTCTCAAAACGATACGTACTTATTCTCACAGTCATTCTTGATGGGCCTTTCAGCCTCGTTTTCAATAGATCACGAAAACCTTCAAGTTCACAACTGCAATCAAAGTTATTATGGTCTATATAGAGTCTTCTTAAATTGATCATGCGGGCGATTGCAAAATTACTAGGATGGATAAATGTTATCGCATTAACTGATAGATCTAATCGTTTTAGTTTAACAAGGTCTTTGAATAAATCCTTCTGTACAGAAATAATTTTGTTGTTAGCCAAAGATAGAACCTTTAATTTTAACATCCCTTTAAACATACATATTGGTAAATGGGTAAAATAATTTCCCTCGATCCTCAGATCCCTTAATGTTTTATTTTGAAACATCTGGCAAAGTTCTCGATCGGTATATTGGAACAGAAGATTTCGAGATAGATTAGTATCGTAAAGGGACTTTGAATTGTTGAGTATCCCAAGGACTTCATCACGGTAGCCTGTAAAGTCTTTAGCATCTACCAATTTCAGATGTTTTAATTGTGTCAGTTGATTTATTTTTAATTTCATTGTTGCACCATTAGACATATAAAGTATAAGGTTTTGTAGTTTTCCAAGTGCATTTAAGTCGAGCGTTAGTTCAACGGCTACTGTTGAGACCTGAATTCCTCCAAATAATCTGAACTCTCTGAGGTTTCGTAAAATATTAAAAGTGGATGTGTTTATGTACATAAAGTTTGAAATCCATAAAGACGTCAGTGCTTTAATTGGTTCAAAAGCGTCACGTGCCAGTGTCTTAATCGTATTTCCTTCAATATGTAATAGTTTCAGCTTGGATGATTTCAGTGGTTTGAAAAATGTTCCATCAATTTTATTAATGACAAAACCACATGCTGCCAGCCTTAGTTCTCCAATCAATTTATTCTCTAAATCATTTATAATGTTTTGAACATTGGGAAGTTCAAGATTATAGTTATTATGTAGGTCCAAAACATGTATACTTTTCCCGTGTCGAAATGCGCCAGGTTCAACCCGCTGGATATTATTATTGCCCAATATAATATTGACTTTTTCCATTTTACCTAAATGTTGAAAAGCGTTAATGTCTATTTCAATTAAGTTACTTTTTATGATTGTTATGTCATTCAATCTGGAGAAATGTTTGAATGAGTTATTCTTAAGAACTCCAAAATTGAATTTATTCAAATAAATCCGGGAAATGTTATGAGGTAACATATCCAGAATGTTTTCTAAAGGCCAATGGTCCTTGGTAGATCTGGCTGTGCAGTTGCACATCATTTTTAGGTTCACTTCCAAACACCAACAAAATTCTGGAATTTGGCTGTTATTGAATTGCTCATTGGATTCCTCAATAAGATCATGTATGAGATCATTGGATCCCTCAGTTGGATCATGTATGAGATAATTGGATCCCTCAGTTGCATCATGTGTGAGATTATTGGATCCCTCAGTTGCATCATGTGTGAGATTATTGGATCCCTCACTCAGATCATGTGTGAGATCATTGGATCCCTCAGTTGGATCATGTATGAGATCATTGGATCCCTCAGTTGCGTCATGTGTGAGATTATTGGATCCCTCGCTTAGATCATGTATGAGATCATCGGATCCCTCAGTTGGATCATGTATGAGATTATTTGATCCCTCGGTTAGATCATATATGAGATCATTGGATCCCTCAGTTGCCTCATGTGTGAGATTATTGGATCCCTCACTCAGATCATGTATGAGATCATTGGATCCCTCAGTTGGATCATGTATGAGATCATTGGATCCCTCAGTTGCGTCATGTGTGAGATTATTGGATCCCTCACTTAGATCATGTGTGAGATCGTCGGATCCCTCAGTTGGATCATGTATGAGATTATTTGATCCCTCGGTTAGATCATGTATGAGATCATAGGATCTCTCAGTTGGATCATGTATGAGATTATTTGATCCCTCGGTTAGATCATATATGAGATCATTGGATCCCTCAGTTGAATCATGTCTGAGTTTATCAAATCCATCAGTTGGATCTTGTATGTGGTTATTGGATATCTCAATTGGATCACGTATGAGATCATTGGATCCCTCAGTTCTATCATGTATGAGGTCATTACTCAGTGAAGTATTTTTACCACCAATCAGAAGCTGGCACATAGTAAACACATACAATGTTGAAACCTGGAAAGAGATGAAATTCAGCTGCATATCTAGGATATTGAGATCTTCGAGGCTTTTTTTACAATCAAAATTGAAGTTCAATGAAAGAAGAGTATAGAGTTTCAACTAACAAACTTCTGAATAAATTGATTTTTGTAAATTTTGGCAAAAGTCCTGCTTGCTATACCTAACAGTATTTATGTTAGTTTATTTAAACATGTGTTCTTATTTAGTGTTTTGTGTTGAGTTGAAAAGTTGGAAACAGAATTCATATTTATATAATAAAAAGTAACAATTACCTTCATATTGAGGAGAACTGTATGTTCTTTTTGCAACTTAGCAAGTTGAGATGCCGTTATATTACTAATGGCCTTTTTACACCAGTTGATAAAGTTTTATTGTAGGTTCCTCATTGAATAGCTTTTGAAATTGTTTTCCGTGTGCTTGTTTGTTTGACTCATGCAACTTCTGGCTTCAAGATTATTTTTGGCTGCATTACCTCATTGTATGTGTGATCATTAAAGCCTGATGCCAAATTGATGACAACTTAAATACATGAAGTTTGCAAATATTTTTTAAATTATTTCATTAAAATTCTGATGATGTTGGCTGTTATTGCCAGGATTTCCAATTAGTTTTCTTTTTGAAGTGCTTATTATCCCCCCGATTAGCTACTTTGTGGAGTTGCTGTTTTCTAGTTGTACAACATATCAAGTTAAAATGAATATTAAATTATGAGTAGTATATATTGTGGCAGAGGATATTGCATATCATACTTTCTCATGTCCTTTAATATGAACCAGGAAGTTATTAAAAAAGTAGAAGTCACCTTATACTTTGATCAGTATAGTATGACTCATCGATGTTGTCATGGTAACTTTTGGCAGCATTCACATCACATTTGATACTTCAAAAGTTGCCATGGTAATCCATGATAATCCATGATACCCACATTATAATTTCTAAGACGATTGAATTTAAGTGAACAAGTACTATAGACTACTTTAATATTAAAAGTTACCGTCTTCTTTAATGGTGATTGAAATTGAAGCATACCCAATATGATATGCTTATCCATTGCCTTTTAAATATTGCCAACATGTTTTATTTCTGCTACAGTATCTTAATCTAGCCTGATTGAGCATTATATTATAGCCTGGATGAACCACTGCATTTGCATACACCTAAAATCTTTGATGATTTATTTCTTATGGTCTCATTTTTTTGTGATGGTGGTTGGTGTCTGTAACAAATTCTAAAAACTTCCAATAACTTAAAGGCCCCATATAAAGTTTAAACCACTTTGGCTTATATTGTAGTCTTACCCATTGTAATCAAAGTGTGATATGGGACACTTTTTTTTAAATTTCAAAATGTGGTTTTTAATAGATTTTTTGTTCCAAATTTGTGAATTTATTTAAAACCAACTTTTAGAGGTCACTCATATCTTCTAATTAGCCACAATTCATACCAATGCATAGCATTCATCCTCCCATGTTTTTCGCCGAAAAAATTAAGAAAATCGGTTCATAAATAAGCGAGAAATGAACTTATCAGTGCATGAAAATGGTTCTGAGAAAAATGCATTTCAAAATTTTAGTTCTCATAGAAACCAATGGTACAATGATATCTAAAACATAATTTATTCTTCCTTTTAACCTGGTTAGACAATCATCATTGGATTTTTATGAAAGTCTAACATATTAAGAAAAGATTGACATCGAAAAAAAAATTTCAATTTTTTTCAAAAAGTTTTTGGTACCTTAGTGACATCACTAATGTTTCAAAATATTTTTGATATGCTAAAACATTGAAGTTGCCCATTAAATATGGCATTTTATTATTGAAATAGTGTGTCCTTTGTTCAATCTTTGCATTGGTGTTAAAAAGATAATCTTTTTTGAAATGTATTAAGAAATATTTGATGATTAAGAAATTTCAACTTTTTTTGAAAAATGGCGGGAAATTTGAATATTTGAGAAATGAAATGCTCACAACTTTTTTATCAAAAATGTTTTTTTCTTCAAAAATCTCTAAAATTACTTTTTAAGTCCTGACAAATAGTAAATGAATGATAAAAAAATATTTTCAAACTTTAGACGGGGACTTTAACAAATACAGTTTAAATTTTTTCAAAATCATTTACAAGTTCTCAGAAGTTCAAATCTGACTTTCTGACTTTAGATTTGAGATTTGACCTTTAATGACCTTCTCGAGGTCAAAAAGGTATTTTTTCAACTCGCTTCAAATTAACCAAATTTTTTCAAAATAATCTGCAAGTTCTCAGAAGTTATCTGACTTAAGATTTGAGATTTGACTTTTAATGACCTTCTCAAGGTCAAAAATGTCAAAAAGGCCCTTCTTCAACTTGCTTCAAATTTACCAAAATTTTTTCAAAATAATCTGCAAGTTCTCAGAAGTTATCTGACTAAGATTGAACTCATAATATTGTGAGCAACTAGGTGATGACATTATGTCATGTAATGCCTCGTTTACTATAATTTGTTCAGCACCATTAGTGATGACATGTCACCAAGTTGTTCCGTTTGGCTAGACACATTAACACAAGTTTACAGCTAGACCCCCAGTTATGTTATGTACTGTATGCTGTATACTGTATATTGTAGATCTGGAGTGCCATGGATGATGACCAGTACCTATGTGCCACACAGTTGTTCCTTTTGGCTAGACACATTAACACAAGTTTACAGCTAGACTCCCAGCAATCAGTTAGAATAAACACTTGGTTTCCAGTCCTCTCAAGACAATGGGCAGCCATCAGCCAGTTCAAAACCACCATTTTACAGGTAATTATTCAAAATTATTTTATGTTCAAAATCAAAATAATATACAAAACCACAATATTACGGGTGCTTATTCAAAACTTTTACAGTTTAGCCCCAAACCAAGTCACAGGGCATCACGGGCATCAGAACATATAGTAGAGTTGTCCTGACCCCCCCACACTCTGTGTAACACAGAGAATGGGGGGATATTTTCTTTTTAGGACAACTCTATATTTGCTCTGATGCCTGTGAGCACAATATTAGTATTGTGAGGTGTCCAAATCAGAAATGTGTTTGGATGTACAGGTATTACTTTATTTTTGAAGGGCTGTAGGCAGCTTTTGAAGGCATGTGACACCAAGGAGTCAACCATCACATCATGCTTGTGCTCTATCATCTTATTGGAGGACTCAACACCACGACAAGTCTTCACTGAGTTCCTATTGGCTCGCACTGTGAGTTATCTGAATATATAATTAGGCTGCATCTCATAATTGACATGTGTGTGCCGCATACATTAAAATGATATCAAGGTTTTTGACCTTTCAGACCCAGTTTTTATACATGATGAGAGGGAAGTTCATTTTTTCATAATATATATTAAATTTATATATAAATAGAATCTCGAAGATTGTTTTAGCACCAGGGTCCCATAGTTTTGTAGGTAGAAACCTAACAATAAGTATTGTAATTTAACAGGTCTCGATTTTCCTCTTTCTATTTAATTAAATTTTCTGTAATATGATTGGCTGATATTTCCAACAATTTGATTGGTTGATTCCAGGGTGCTGTCCAGCAGTTATTTCAGCCAGATGAGAAGAGTATTAAATCTCAGATCTGTGAAATTGTTCAACTTATCATTACAACTATATACCAGATACACTCCATCTTTTACTGCCACAGTGGCTCCCACAAGCAAGATGACAAATGTAAGTTGATTCAGAAATTAAATCAAAATTGAAGTAAAGTCAATTAATTGTCAGAGATACCCTTCCTCTCCCATAAAAGTTTCAGAGCAGCAATTGATGTTTTCGAGTTGCTTCCTTTGAAAAGATACTGAAGACACAAACAAAATCTAGAATATTTTTACCCCCTCACCTTATTAATTTGGGGTGTACAAACATATTAACCTTGTCTTCCAATACTCAGGATACTGAGGTATTAGATTTGTGTTTTCAGTCTTTAATTTCACACCTGTTTAATCTTTGATTTATACATTATATCTAATGAATAATAGATAAATGTTCTTTTGTTGTTGTAGTGCCTACCAATCTGTTAATGGAAACTCTAAATGAGGTGATGGATAAAAACCATAGCAACAGTGTTATCATAGATACCAGCAAATCTGTGTCATTGAGACTTCTTCCCCAGTCTGTCTCAAGTAAGTTACCATAGCAACAGTGTGGATCACCTCTGTTAGTGAAACAGTTTTTAAACTGACTTCGTCTTAAAAAACATTGGGCACAATGGAAACATTTTTGTTGTCTCAAGGGTTTTTCATTATTATATAATAAAAGTTTTTACTGTGTAATCTCCTTTTAGAAGACTAGTTATGTGTGTGTTTTTATCTTGCAGATTTTCGACCCTCACTGCGTACACCTCCCTCTGCCATATCAGATCATCACTTACAGAGTAGCTGCACAGAGTGGTTAAACACTAGCGTACAGGACGTACATGCTGGAGTCACTAAACTTCTTGTTTACGTAACCAATATCAAAGCTCTTGCTGGCATTAGAGATGCATTATGGGAATTTATGCAAAAGGTAGGTCCAAGTGTTCATTTACAAAAGGAATCGACACTATTCACATTAAATTAGGAAAACATGTTGAATTCCATGTTCAAATTAGAACCTTGTACATTTATTTTTATTGGTTGTCATAACAATGACCCAATGTTAATGAAACGATATTTTGTTATAGACTGAATACCTCCAGGAGTGGGCCAAGATATGTGAGAGGGTAGTCAAGAGAAAGGTTGCTGTTTGGGAAGAATTCGTACAACCCCTCTGTTTATCTCGGGTACAGAGCATCATTGACACACAACTTGATCAGACACTCAACACACACATGCAGAATATCACTAAGGTCCTCACTGATCTCAGTAGCCCAAATGAAAAGTAAGGAACTGTAATACTTTTTCATATTTAAAGGAATATGTCACACCAATGTTTTTTTGTCTTGATAATCAATAATTATAATCATTAGTTTATGGTGTAGAAATGATAAAAAAATATTGATATATTTTGAATTGATTTCAAAGAATTTAATGAATTTTGATCACTGGGCTACAGTTTAATATTTACTCTTGATGAATTAACCCTTTCCCAAAGTGAATATAGAAGGAAAATGTTAGCCTGGTGACAGAAAATTAAGAGTGGTTTTTAGGGGATAACTGCATATTACTTGTACCCATACCCCAGGACCTATCATTTATCACTGAAATACAATTTGTATAATAAGAATTATCACATTTTAATAACTTGTCAAAAGGTGTAAAAATACTGATAAGAACTTAAAATGTTGTCATTTCATTGATGTATATAAATAAAAATAATGGTGTTAAAGGAGTCTGACATCCTGAAAGGTAATATGAAAGAGGGCTCTACATGGAGCCTTTCGTGGTTAATAGTAAAGATTGAACCTGATTAATGAAAAAATTGCATTTCAGATCACTGATGCATGACAGAGATCTATCCAGCTATATCTGGCATGAGTCCCCTAAAGATATAGCTGCCACCAATGCCTGGTTGCCAGCTAGTAGTAAGACACTTGCTGATGGTGGAGGGCTGATGATGAAAGCAAGGGCATTCACACCCACTATACAAAGGTAATTACATTTAGCCTAATTGTATTTCAAGGATATTGCAATTAATGTATTAGATATCATTCATATTCAAGACAAAATTCATTTAAAAGTTGATTACATACCATCTTTAAGCATAGATCTTCCTGTCATCATCTTCAAATGGTCAATCTTTCTGCAGACTTTGTCAACATCTTGATGGCAAACTGAAGGTACTCTTGGAAGATTTAGACTACTACACTGCCAAAGATTCATCCAGTGAGGATGACTCTGAGGATGGACCCTTTAATAGACTAGCTGACAGCCCAGTTTTACAAAAACACATCCAGACAGGCTGCTTACAACATATGAACAAGTAAGAACTAACATTATTACTAGGTGCTCCATCTATTGCTGATTGTTGATAATTGAAAGTGCCATTCTGCAATGATTACTCATTAAATTACAAATGGTATTTAGTCCATGTTTAGGGGGACATTTCATTCAATTTGAACACAATTTGTATAGAATTAACAAAATGTCAGCATTAGACCTGTTACTTTTGGAACACCCTGTATGTTATGAATAGGAGGACGTTCATTCAAACAAATTTACATTCTTAGATTATACCATTTATAATTGTAGCATATGTTATCTATGTATTCGATTGTATTCTAGATTACGAGACCACATTGGTCAGCAGTTGAAAGGTTCCCAGGGGCAACTGAATAGTACAGACATAGAGGGTGCTGGAATTCTTATTAATAGGTATGTACTAAAAAGACCCAGCATATGAGGAGTGTCTGTGGAAGTCCATGGAACATTTTAAAATGTAAATATCTCAGTAGAATGAGGTCATTTCGATGTATTTGAGACATATATGTCATATTAATCAGATATTAGCTCATCTGGAGAAATGTAATTGTTTAGTTTATTTAGTCCTTCAATAAAATTGTTGCCTTACTCCCAACAGTTTTTTCCTCCCTCCCCCAGGTTAGACAATGCTGTGAGAGGAAAACTGCCCTATTCTGCAAGTGAAATATCTTTACAATTCCCTTGTATTTGTAGAATCCTACTGCTGGGCAGACTATGTGGAGCTATGTGTGACTTGGCCCCAAACCTGCATAAATGTGTCCTATTGAAGGAAAAGCAAGACAAGGCTGTCAAGTAAGAACATAATTACAATATGATCCCATTTCTGGTAATGGACATTTTGGTGCCAATATGTTTTGATGTCACCGCCACATTTTTTTTGTGTTTGGTGGGTGGTATTCTGCAGGCAGCATCTGTAACAAATGGCAGGTGGTGACATTTTCATGCATGTTAATGCCTTGCTGTTCATCATATTTTATCATATACTTAAACCATTGCAATGAGTAGGGTCAGTTATTTAAAGGAATTTATTTTGTCATTTCTAGTTGTGTGGAGAATATGATGTCTTCCACCTCATTGTATAATAACCTGAAAAAAAATGAAATTTTCATAATTATAATAGGTTTTGGCCGACTAAAGTCATTTTTCAAAATGGGCAAAAAACTTCCATTACAACTTTTCAGTTACATGTACATCTGCTTGGTAAGGTGAAAAGATCTAGTCTATTTGATCACATGACACTTCTTGAACAATCAGAACGCCTCAATCATAATAGTAACATTATGAATACTGTCTGACTGGGATTGATGAGTACATGGTAGTCTATTTGTAGGATTAAGCGCCAGAGCAGCATCAGTGCTAAAAGCAAGCAGATTGAGGATCCTATATGGATTGAAGTGAAGTCCAACATGACAGACACAAGTTGTACAGCTTTCAAGTAAGTCCAAAATAACCCACTTGTGGGGTAGTAACTTCTGATTCCTTCTATACTTGACTTAGTTCAATCATAAATACTGATCAATCATGAGGGTTATTGTAGTATACCTAATAAGCAGCATTGTGAAGTCCAAATTGAATTTTACCATTTTCCTGTCTTCAAAAGGTTATTAGACATTATAGATTTAAAATAATCTACACAGAAATGTTTAAGAAGATTTCACTAAAAGTAAAATAAAAAAGTTATGCATTTCTCTGGGTTACGTTGAATTAGAACTGCACGTTTCCATGAATGATGTAATATTATTGACAATATTCCAGGATTTGGACGGACTATACCTGCAGTCAACTAGTCTCCCACTTTGAGCAGATGCTACTGGACAATAGTGGACACACAGCACTAAGGGCAAGCACAGTAAGTCTACTTGAGCACTCATGACTTGCTTTCTTCTCTGAAAAATGTTCGTATATGTTTATTTTTATTGAACAATACATCAACATACATGTGTAAAATAAAAGATTTAGACTCTGAAGTCTTATATTTTTCGGTCCTGAACAATGATAAAAAATGAGCAGTAATATTTAAATCTGATCTCTACAAAATGTTATATATTTTTGTTTGTAGCAGTGGGATGAGGTTCAAATCCAGGAGGAGACTGAGGATGGTAAAACTATCAAATCTGTGATACGTGTTCCCATGCAGTGTTCTTGGTTTGTACAAACCTTGTTATATGACCTATGTGGAGAAATCAACAGAGTTGCTGGCCATTCCATTAGCAGGTAATGGTTATGCTATTAAAGTGATTCTCATTGCATCCCCATTTGTGTTTTGATGTTGTAGCTATAAAGGGTAAGTGTATGTATCAATACACAAAAAGATTAAAAATCAAGATTCAACTTTAAAATGATCATACATATCTATGGTTTTTGCTTTGAATATCCCACATTTTGCAGTTTTTGTAATAATATTCACTAATACTCATCTTTATCAATATTTCCAAAACTGTTCTATGTTGGTGCTTGTTCTTTATCTACGTATCTACGATTCACCCAATTTTATGGTCTGTGTGATGGAATAATGAATCTAAGTATACAACTAAGTATCATACATGTAGGACTCCTATAATGTATGATCAACCACATGTACATTAAGAACACATTTTTACTTTGCTTCCAGGGCAGTATTGCTAGAACTCGTGGATAACATAACAGAATCCATCTTGAAGGTGTTTGAGTCGTACCTGACCCACACTGCTAACCCCCAAACACCACAGCAGATCCCCCAAACTCAAACCAAGGCCCTTCAACTTATCTTTGACATCAAGTTCCTCAGTGGAATCCTGTCAAAGAAGGATGATTCATCTGTAAGTGTTATATTATGCACAGTAGATGTTTACATATTTTAGACAAACTGGTTAAGATGATAAATTTTACTTTTTTGAGGGAGAGGTTCTTAATCGAAACTACATTTTAACCTCAACCTATTGTGGAAAGATTAATAGATTTGTTATGTGACTACCTCGAAGTTGTTATAGCCATTTTTGTGACCATCGTTTGGCATTAGAGTCACTAATTTTTTAACACTGATGAAAAATTTAATAATTTTGTATTTCCTATTGTTAACAGTGGTTAATAAGTCCAAGGTGGGCTGGGTAAAATTGTTATTAATTTTTTTGAATTTAATTTTAATGAATTGTAAGACGACCCCTATAAATAAATAAATAAACTAAACTCTTAACTATGAAACCATTCGCACTACCTTAGCAAGTGGTGACATTTTGACTTGTTTTTCTGGAAACATTCTGGACCCCAGTACACAGTGTAGTAGAGTGTAGTTCATACACATATTTCAATGGAGAATTATAAAAACATGATTTTCCAAAAACATGATTTTCTGTTATTTTTAAAGGCATCCAAACTAAATCAGAAGAGAGTGGCAAAAATAGTGGACAAGTTGGAGTCAAAGGTTGACCCATTTGATCTTGACGTGTTCAGTCCATACATGCAGAGTCATCTATACAAACATATACAGCGCTGCAGTGTAAGTGGATCATTTTGCAGAATCTTAAGATGATAACAGAGATGGTGTTTGTTCTGTATACTTTTTCCATTAAGTTGAATCCATACCTGAATCTAGTCTGAATTTACTTTACATTTCAGAGAAAAAAAGTGTGTTCTTGAATCAGGCCATATTCTAATAAATCTACACTCATTTGAATTATAAAGCAGAAGCTGTTCGGTTTTTTGTCTAAACTTTGTTTTGTTGGAAGTTTATATCAGTTTGACCCAATCAATTACACAATCACACCAGCCAATCATCCAATTATACATGTATCAACCAAATTATATTTCAAATATTGTGAGAGTTACGAGACCTGTTTTGTCAGATGATTTATTTCCCCAACTAATTGTCTTTGTAAGGAAGTGGAAAACTAACACAAGAGCTCAAAACAAGACTAGTATTTGGTATGTTTTGTAGGTGTTGTTTGGTTCACTGACAAGCCTAGATAAGCATGGTACCTTCATGTCTACTCGCGGTACCACATCAGGTAGCCAGGAGCAACACAACGTCCTCCCCCTGTCTACATGTACTACTAGATTCAACCTACTCCCCTTCAGTGCTCAATCTACTCGTAGCTCACTTCAGCAACCCCTCCTTAGCCCTACCAAGATGCAGGTAAGGTGTTATCATATTTTTTGCATTGGATTCTACATGTAATGCATTAGTCTTGCCCTGGGAAAAATCATATTGACACTCACCCCTGGGCTCATTTGGTCAGTATCATATTTCTTTCGGTCAAAATCATATTACCCTGGAATAAAATTCATCTTGAAAATGTATTGATGCAATTTCTAGAAAAGAATAGATAGTTTTTGTGAATAATATGTGATTTCTGGCTATTTTGCACATAATAAAATAAGAAATAATGTTTCCTTTTATTATATTATTTATTATGGTATACTAGAGACAGAGCCCCTTTAAGCTTATAGTACTATAACTGTCTTGTTTGTGTTCCAGATGCTATCGCCAACAACAACTATGACAACACTGTCGCAAGAATCTCTCCCAGCAGTGCAAAGAGACAGCGGCTCATTTTTCAACCAAGTCAGCACAATATGGTTCTCAAATATAGGCAATAAGAAGACATAGCAATGGTGTTAAATAAAGACAATAGAAACAATTTATTTATTTATGAGACAGAACTAATGAAGCATAATGTTAGGAACAAATAGACATTATGCAGTCCTGCATATAAAATCGATTCAGGAGGTGGAAGTGTTTTAAGAGAAATGCTACTGAAATGTGTGTTTTCATACATTACATTCTACATTTTGTCAGTGCCACAAGAAATGTGAGATCTCTTGTTATTTCAACTATCGTACATAAATAACAGGTCAAAAGGAAACTATTTTATGAGGTCTCTCCAGTTGGCATGTTATTGTCCTATGTATATTGATAAAAATCAGCTGGTGTTCTTTGAATGACTAAATTTGATTGGTTAAATCAAAGAATCTTTTTATTCAGAGAGTGAAGTTCTCTTTTAGAGACACAAAGTTAGACTCTAATATATTACTGTGAGGGGGGATCAGCATAACATGATAATATATGTAAGATATTCTGTACATTTCTCATTGGTTTCTTAATTGGTTACTTAATATTATGTAATATAACACAGGTAAAATATTTGAATTATCAGACACTAGTGTATAAGGTATATCCCACGTACATGATTGGGGGAATAAAGACACAAATATAAATGGTATATATGATGTTATTTTTGAATGACCCTGGTATCCTGAAATTTAACATTTCTGTGACATATTATTATGCACAATAGGTTGGAGTTGGTTATCAAAGGTCAGAAGCAGTTCAAGGTCACACAAGGTGATGGTGAGAGAGGTCAAAGATGAATACTAGTATATAGTATAGTAGTATATATACTTTAAGGTCATGCAAGGTCATTGTGTAAGTAAATTCAATCAAAGTCCCATTAAACAAGATAATTAAAACAAATCAAAACCCCCTAAACCATGTAGAAACATTTCCATCATTATTTTCTTACATTGAGCATCAGTCATGTCAGTTATATGTTTATTCTATCTGAAAATGATATGAGGTCAAATAGGTGTTCCTGTATATGGGCCATTGGCAGTGGTTTAAAACAAACAAAATATTATTTGCTAATAAATCTAACTGTGTGTCATCATTATATTTAGTGATAACTTCAGAGATAAACCTCTTCACACATTCGTATTAATCAGAACTTTACTATTGAATATTAATGGTGTATCCTTGTAAAGTTGACAAACATAATAGATATGTGATAGTGTGAAATTTTGTGTTATGCTTCAACTTTGAAGTATGTTTATCAAACTATGTGGTTTGGTTTTTCGGTCATGTTTCATTTTGATAAATGTAGTCTTGTTTTCAGGACAATTATGATTTTGTTTATATCGTCTCGTAAATGTTCAAATCAGACAGCTAAACCTGTGTAGGTTGAACAAACAATTGATACTCTGAAAACAATAGGCCAACCCATTATCAAACAATCTATCAAACAATCTATGATTCCATATTCTACACACATCAAACAAGCTGATTATTTGAGCACTTGGATGTCTCATGCAACCCCTAAGTACTCTGTATTCACTTTGAAAGATATATACATTAAGAGGTTCTTTAACACAAGTGAATTGGACATACAGAAATTAGAACTTGAGAGGGGTTTCACATACATTAAGTGCATACATTTTACTGTACAAACATTTATGCATATGTACATGTATATATTATATGCATTAAAAGAAAAGACAAAATTCAAAGTATTTCCGTTTTTTTACATTCCAAATGGACAATGTTTCTTTGAGAATTTTATATAAAATATTTAAACCCAAATTAAACTATAAATAAATAAATAAAAATAACCATAACAACAAGACGAACAAATAATCATTTTTATGATGAAATTATTGATCTAAGATGGACTCTTGTGCATTTTACTGATCAAGGGGACAAGACATCAACGTATCTGACTACCAATCTCGTAATAAGCTACATGTACACAAGACCTTTAAACCCATGTGCCAAGGCTATTTTGATTATCTTTACTTTTAATTAAATGGAAATCCCAGTATGTATAGCATCAGCCTTGTTGTCATTCATCAGATACTTGGTATTTAAATCTCAATTCCATTGTGACTCATTACCATAGTTATGTCCTAATTAATCATATTTCATTAAAAATACCCAGTTGGTCCTTTGCCCCTTGATGACCAGGCTGATAAATATGTTATCTAGATTAAACGCACTTATATTTTATGTCCATTAAATTTTGCATAGTTTCAAGTGGATATTTATTTAATTCTATGTTCATGTATATATGGATAGAAACATGAAACATTTCATATTGATTGTACTACACTTTAAAACTGGTATAGAGGCGTTGTTTATTTGGCAACATGATTATGCTAAATGATGTTTGTTTTGGTTTTTAGTTTCACCAATTTAGGTCAAAAAAGCTTTCTATTAAGAATAAGCATCTATAAGTTTTTGATACTTATTAATACTTAATCCACAAGTTTAGTTAGCCAATATAATGAATGACATGTAGCTTATGAATTACATTATTTTGTAATCAGATAAACAACCTACAAATACCCTGCGTGCAGAGTCTAGTTATAAACTACCCTCTGCCTAGTATAGACTATATTAAAGTTTAGCAGCCCCGCCCCAAAGATTGCAGTGCCTGTGACAGCCCGGTTAGGAAATCATTCCAAATCTACCACACTGACCCTATCTCAACCAATCAGTGAAGTTACAGGAACACATGCTTAATACATGTTTATTAACTATGCGGTGATGTCAGAGGAAATGACCAGAAAAAAGAAAATGAAAGTTGTCAATATTTTGACGACCGACTCTTATTGGCTCGCTGAGATCAGAGATTTATTGTAAACTGAAAGAGTGAAGACGGAGCTCTCTTAAGAAGTGAAGTTGAACGAATGCAAAGGGTAACCTACAAACTTGCCTGTTTATGTTCGAACCTAAATGTGAGAGCTGGTGAAGAAAATGTCTCATGATAAATATAGATGGCATAGTAGTCAAATATAAAGGTACAATCAACATCAAATACTGTCTCCTATCCTTACTTTTGTAATTTTAAGGCCTCTTCAATAGTTAGACATAAATAAAACAGCTAACAGGTGCAAATGGGTGGGCTGGGAGATCATCGTGACACGATGACATGATTTGATCATTCAAAGCATCTACAATATACAAGTTCATGTACAGTTTAATTCAGTATGAGTGTGAATGAAAAATGTCCGACCATCCCACAATGTTTAACCTCTTTCCTGTTTACATAAAGTCAGTACCTGATTAAAAATATTGAAACAATAAATATGAAATTAATAAAAATACAAATATTTGCTGTTCTTGCAGTGAATCCTATTTACAAGGATTGAGCGTGTTTTCTTAAGGTAAATGCACTTCAAATATACAACAGTATGTTACAGTTCCAAACTTTATAATGTGTTCAAACAGTTTTTAGATATCCTGGTTTAACTTCAAATATAAATAGTCTATCATATCACCCTATTCAAATAATCATATCAAAAGATAAAAAAAACTTTAAGAAGTTAACAAAGGGTGTTTGTTTAAATGTCTGACTGTTTAAGAAAATACATTTGATAGTTGTGTACATTTAAGTATTAAGTAAGTGGTATCATCTTATTTCATCAAGCTTGCTGGGTGAGTTTGTTCATATTAAAAAAATGGGTGTGTTATCATCATGAAGCAGTTTTGACTAGATCAGTTTGAAATGGTAGTATAACTCTGAGCAATGGAGTAATTTTATTCATTCAATATGAATTATCTTCTTTACACTATGTTTCTATAATTTTGACAAACTTTTTTCATTTCGTTGATTTTTATGTGATATGACATACATGACATAAGTGTAATGAAGCCATGAATGGAGTGGAAGAAAATTGTGTTGGCCTTGGAGGAAACTATCGCCTAGGAGATAGAGTTCAAAACAGATTGAACCGTTCTTGAAGATTGGTATCATATTATCAGATACTTATATAGCGTTTCAAATATTATATCCCTGAATCTTTAACAACATTCTGTGACCCACCTCATTAAATGACATTGACAATTGATTGACAAGTCATTATTGTTTAGTTTGATTGACACTCCACAATATGAGACTTGAAAAATATGAAGTCTGTTGCTACTTTGTTGCAAGCTATATTCATTGACACCATCTGTCCTGAAGCAGGTTATTTATCAATATTTGCTGAAATCAATTATTTTCTTGAGTTTAATGATACAAGCCAAGTTGAATGACAATAGTATTTGCTTTTATTTTCATCTGTGAGTCTTATACATTATTATATGGACTTAATCCATATTGTGTATTTGTTCCAGTTTTCATTGTAAACACTAGTCTAATGGGATGATTCAATGCTGGTGATTCAAGATGAAATGAAATTATATTGCTGTATTTAACTATAAGATCTTATCAATGAATCATTTTATATTTTATCCAATTTCATTGTTTAAAGGGATTTGGTTTAACTATTGAAAACCTACATGTACCAAAATGACCTTTGTCTAAAATTGTGTGCAAAGATTGACATCTGCAAAAATATGGATATCCACTTCCGGTATTGTTTCCTAGTCTATATTCACTGTTTCTGACAAATAAACCGAATCTTACTTTATGAAATTGAAGATTGTTAATAAATTACGAGATATAACAAGTTTGGTAATGATTCTTACTCAATCAACCGTCAAATTTCGTAAATATTAAGAATTATTTTGACGCATGCTGTCATTGTTTGGAAAGCACGTGGTAAGAAAAACATCAATATTTGTGTCAATCATTTAAGTCCCGCCTATGTCTGCAGTTTTGTCCAATCAGAGAACGGAAATCCCGTCTAATATACATAATTTGTGATGCATCCTGGGGAAAATGACGTCATTTTTAGTACACGAAAGGGTCACAAAGAAGTGTGGTCTCGCCGTAGAAAGCACGGTACATAAATGAAAGGTTTTAGTTATATTTTTATACAAGTTTGTACATTTTATAGTGCTCTATTCTCTTTACCGTGATGCCGGCAAGCCTGCTAACGGATATGAACTCAAACAGTGGCGGCTTAGAGGACCAAAGGGCCTTACAAATCGCCCTGGAATTGTCTATGTTAGGAATCAGTTCTGAAGATGAGAGTAGACGACACATAGCCGAACAATTGGACTCTGAAAAAGACAAAAAAAGTGCAAACATGACAGAATGTGTTCCTGTACCTAGCTCCGAACATGTAGCAGAAATCGTTGGGAGACAAGGTAAGCTGGAAGTAGACGTAATACTGGGTAGAATCTTCAGCAAACTCAACTTCTTTGTGGCGCAAAAATTCAAAATGGTTGCTTTCGAAATCATGCTGGAAAATGAAAATCATCCCCGTGATAATTTATTCCTATTCTCTGTGCAAAAACAAAAGAAGAAATGTATTTTATCATTGAATGAGGACCATACCTATAATAACGATATTGCACATCTAGACTAATGTATCAGGTAGCAAAATTTACCTTTTCAACTCGTTCAACTTTCATAGACAAAATGATCCAAACCTGAAAATGACTGACTTGGTTTTAACCCTTCTCAAACCAGGATTTGATATACGCGTTATACTCATTTTGTCTCGCTCATGGTTGACAGTATCCATTAACAAAATATCAACATAATAGACAGGATATCATTCTGCTGCATCAGTAAGATAATATCCTCTTCGTAATTTAGTACCTACATTATTTCACTGTGTGTTGTGTCTACAATAAACTGATGAATATTCTATGATTTGTTTCATAATATCAGTAAGATCATTCATTTTATGACACACACAAGGGTAAACATGGAATATGTAAAAATTAACGACTTTTTGGTAAGATGACAACGAGCCAAAATGATAAGTCATATGAAGTGTTTACTTCAATTTGAGCGATAACGAGTTGATGTTCATGATATGAAGACAACATCCCAATAACCAAACAAGTCTTTTATATAAGCGATAATCTGTTTGAACAAACTAATTGTGAGACTTGTACATCAAGTGTGGGTTAATGATAAACCCTTCAAATATGTCTGAACCATAAATGAATAAATGACACAACAAAGAACGTTCTAAACGGAAATATGTGTTGTGATGAATGTATGATGTAAAATATCAACTTCAGCCATGTGATCATTGCTATTTATGGTACTTTCCACCTTAGACCAATTATTTGTTTTACGAGTTGAAAAAGTTTTTTGCTTGGTAATGTTTTCATGTCAAACTCATTTTTTTGGTTAAAGTTTATATCTAGGGTCAGATTTGTATACTAGTTAAAACTAATAAGTTGAGTATATTGTTGAACGCCTGATATTGTTGAAACTTGATAGTGTAAATGGTTCCTCATTCTTTATTGTCAGAACTGAACAGATGTTCTAAGGAAAATACCTTTGTTATTGTATTTATCAGTGAACACGTTAACTCAGCCTGACTGTAGTCTATACATAAACACAAGCACGGCAGCATGTGTCTTTGTTCTCGACTGCACCAGGGTTTATAGGTAATACTCCATCCATGTGCTCTTGGAACAAAGAAGAGGGAAGTTTAGTCCAATTTATTGTGAAATAAAAAGATCCAATTTATATTTTTGTATGATTCTTATAGCATTACCACAGTAAAAGAAAGAATATTTTGCTCGTGTAGACACAGTTTTTGAAAGGTCATTGAATGATACAGACACTATTGATCGCTATGTTTTTTCTTAGTAAGTTCCCCAATTATGAAAGTGAAGTCAAGTGCTATATATATTAGACCTATGTGATTATATCGAAATATTTCTTAAGTTTTTCCCTGGAGCTTTATTATCCAGTTGGAGTACCATTCAAAGATCTGGTTTTCTCTCAATTGAGTAAATATTAGTATTTTATGCATAATTTAGTGTTAGGTAATTATGATTTCATATTGATTACTTAAACCAGGTAAATTGTTCAGCTCACACAATCTGAAGACTATTTTCATGTAACGGCTATCAGAAAACAATCCGACACCAGATGGTGGGATCTAATTTGATAAATATCAATTTCTATAATAGAAAAGTAATTTCGGAATTATTATGAAATGCAGACAGACATCTGTTTCAATGAGCACTAATGACAGACAATAATATACTAGAACATGGCTTTGTTTTATACCATTATGTACCCAGTGGTGCCTACTTATGAAATTTTTGATGCTTATTTAAGTTGTGTTTACCATCTGCTGGTCCTTATTCAAGGTTATTGTGAGATCTGATAATCACCTTGAGCATATTTTATTTAAAAACAGATGTTCACACACATTGACAATAAAAACAAAAGCACAAAGAGAATATTCGTTAAAAACAAACAATTAATTTTAGATATTGGCGGCAATATTTCTTATCATATGCTCCAAATTTTTTTTTTTATCTCACATGATGTCATAATTGGACATCTGCTGATAGAATAATATCCAGGTTTCAAACTTAACAATTCGATTGACATAAATACTTGCCAAGAAATTATGTGCCAAGTGCTTTAGGCCGAAGGGTGGTATGTGCTTGTATAAAGAAGATATGTCACAAGATGTAGGTTAGCATCGCTCTTTCGAGTTGAATTATATCCATGTCGTAATATGTCATGTGCGACTAATTAGTTGTGCCAAAATTCAAGTATTATGTCACAATGGTCATAAAGACGGTCGTACTTTAAAACATGGGTTTGTGTTTTAATTGCAAGTGTCAGTATCAAAGGATTAAAGTTCTACCATCCCAGTAGTAAATGCTTTTACATCACAATTGTTAAGACTGGTATCATTGGGTTAATGCTGGTACTAAGAGGGTTAATAGAATCATGGTGAATTGAACTCATTAGTTCTAAATGGTTCAATAGGTCATAATTATCTTTGTTATTTTGAATTGCAACTTATAATTATATTCTTATCAGTAGGGCTGCCATCGAACTCAAATGTCAGTGTCGACAGTCGAACTCTGCTGTCGAAAATATTGTCGACAATCGAACTTTCCAGGGAGAAAAAATCATCGGGAAAAAAAGAAAAATTATTTCTGTGTTGTTGGTTCGTTTTTTCCAAATCTATCGGGGAAAAGCTTCATATAACTTATATTCATATTGGTATGTAATTGCCTAATATTGTTACTAAATGCCAAGTTAATAGAATATTATAGACGAAAATGGGACAAATACCTGCAATGTTTCGACCGGGATTTATTTCGACTGCTCGGGCGAAATCTCGTACAACGTCTCGCAAGAGAGAAGAGAAGTCATGAAGGGAACTTCCGGGTGAATTTATTTTTTGAAAATGAAATGAATGTGAACAATATTTCCGCAGAATACGCGCACATAACACGTTGAAATGTGTATTGAAATGTATTGGGGCCATTTGGATATTTTCAAGTAAGTATTGATATCGTTTGCTGTCGACATGACGGGAATTTTTGTCGACTTCGTTGTCGAACTTGCATTTTGACTGACAAGTCGACGTTCCGACTAATGATGGCAGCCCTACTTATCAGTATTATTCGTTCATCATTTATAACGTTGTTCTGTGTATTGTATATTTGTGATATGACAACAGAATAATCAGGATGGCATTTGAGTTGATTAGAAAATTATCTCACAAAAAAAATTTTATGACGTGCGTGTATTTGACATTTGCTAGATGTTCTTTTTGTAATTGTTATCATTTCACATTTAGGAGATTTTGGGTTTCATGGACATGTCATAAGAAGATCTACTGTTTATTTGTTAAATACAAGTTATCTGAAATACGGATCTCCCATTGCTTTTAGTTGAAATCTGTCATATATGACCTAGGTTATGAAAATCAGAATATGATTATTTGTATAAATCCAGGGCCGCAATTGAAGTGTTCATAATCACTTTTGGGAGGTGTTCACATTTTACTTATTTTTGTGTAGGAAATGGTTCCTTGAATATAAATGGTTGTTTTGAAGCATATATCAAGAATATTGTCTGAAGGTCCTTCAAAGGTTAGATCAGCAACGCCTGCTGCTTTCAGAATTCTGATTGAATATTCTTTGTCTAAAAATCTCAGCAATATTCACACATTAGGAAAATCATATTGAACAGAAGTGTGCTTTTTCTGGCACTGTGCCAAAGTGCTTGATGTGTCATCCGAGAATCAATAGAAAATCTAGGGTAAAAGATTGAATCTTTACAACCTAGAAACGGTATTTTTGGTGTTTTTCATATAATGAATGCTGACACATGTATCTATAATAGATGCTGATATATGTATTTCTATGATTGCTATAGTACCTAAATGCTCTTGAGAATGCATGACTCATTGTGTTTGTGATTTAACATGTAGACAAAGCTCTTCAGGTATGGTCTCATTATGGGAGAAATCTATAAATACATGATATGATTATCATGATTGGGTTATAGCATCCCAGAAAATGATTATGTGATCCATTATCCTCATTAACGTCAAGGCTGACTAATCTGTCATATTTGTTCGGAAAAAACTCTGAGGATTCTTGTAGGGAGAATTGGAGGTCATTGTGACCTTGTTGCAGATAGACAGTAGATGTGTTTGATGTGTCTGCGGATTGGTGATCATATGTCAAACGGGTAATTTTTCATATGAATCACAAAATAATTATTATTAATTACTAGACAGACTTAATAATGTGAATGAATTCGCATCAGTTAAGTTAAACATGTCTTGCATCAATGCCATGTATGTACCCCAGCCCTTATTTCTTTTACATTGCAGATATGGGATTAGGGGGAAGATGTTATACATACATTCTAAATATTAAAGTATACTTCATCATTAAAAGTTGATATATTGAGAACTGATGCCTACATTGCATTGTCTCTTGTGATACATTTACTATCAAGTATATTGTATTACCAGAAATGATAAGAAAAAAAGTTTTGACACATTGATATTTTATTCAAGGGTTCACATTCCCTTACCTGTTGTGGTAAGTTGGCTCAGTTATGTGTGTTAAATGTCTATTTCCAGAAACTCAATGAAAGATGATGCACCGTGTGTATTTAGCTTGCTAAATCTGTGCATATTAACTTGCGTAAATCCTTTTATATATAGTGCCTTGTTGGTTGATGTAACAGAGAGGGGTTATCATTGAATGTTGGTTGGCCAGATTTCAGTACAAATGGGATGTGTGGGAGGAAATACAAGTTGGGAAGTACGATCAGATCTCCTGAAGTGCATTCCACAGATTGTTCATGGGTAAAATTAGAATATGAAGTTTTTAGACTTTGGTTGGGT